ATAGACTAGAGTCTGAGTCTGTACATAATTTTGATAAAAGTTATAGACCTTATCTTTCATGCACTAGGTAGAGTTTCAGGGAAGCCATCAATACTATCCTAGGTTCGGTTACTCCAAGTCAAACACTCATATTCCTCCGATGACCAAGAATAAAGCAGAAGCAAGACAGCCCTCAGATTAGCTCTCAGGTTCTCACCGGTTTCCAGGCAGATAATGGTAGGGACTTGTGCATTCTCGCACAAGTCGTGCCGGATACCATGCAAATTTGGCTTTTGATTTCATGATTCGTCACTGGGCTGTCTGCTTGCTTGCTCCATCTCTTGTCCATATCATTGACTTCAATACCCGTGTATGTTTGTCTTGCGTCATTAGCTGTATTGGGTATGCATTCACATGAACCTGTTTATCATAACACAACATAATGCAACATCCATATCATTACATGAATAGTAGCATAATCTCAATGCGGTCGACATGAGGTTGTGATTAGTAGACATATAACTGATTTGAAAACATTGAGCAATGTTAAGGTTAGTCTGGCACGGCACGTTGGCACGGCACGTTGTACTCAACATGGAGGAAAAGGGCGAGGTGATAAAGGGGGAGAGGATAAGACCGCCATCAGATTGAAAACTACCGTTTATACATCACTCTTCACTGACGTGCTCGACATCGTTATCTTTGTCAGAAACAGATGGAGCAATATGAGAGTCTCGGAGTAAAGTGCTAGATTTCTTTATCATCATTGGGGGCGTTGGCACAGAACAAGCAGAGGAGCAATGTGGTTGTGCAAAAGTAACAGAGTTGATCAGTGCGGAAAATAAAAAGAATAAGATCAGTAGAAGAAGGGTATGTGGTCAGTAATATGAAAATGAAAAAAGTGAGTTGAGCAAACCAAGGCTATACCCGAACATTAGAGGATAAGTCCCTGTCATAAGTACTTATTGAAGGAAGAAAAAGGAATCATCCAAACAGAATGAGCAACTTTGGTAATCTCTTAGATCTCTGTTCAGTCTCAATCATCCACGCTTGGTCAGATGTCTTCTTCCATTCGGGGATCCGAAGGATGAAGTCCACTGCCTGATTTGAATCATAAGGGTGTCATGAGAAAGCTCTTTGTGTGTGGTTATCGTCATTGAGATTGGAAAGCGCTATTCATAGAAGTAAGAAATCCAGCTATGAATAAGGCAAAGGTTGCGAGACGCGACCTATCTTCTAGATATTACATGTGGTGTGTTGCTTCGCGGAACAGCGCGTTTTTGTGGTCGACGCGGAGAGCACGTGACCGATTCTTATGCAGTTTGGTATTTGCGCAATTTTACATGCTGACTAAGGATATTGCACATAATATGCTCGATTTGTCGCCCCAATTCGCTATACGGCCATAAGTCCCAAACAGTGCTCAGCATCGATACCTTAACCAAGGGCATTGATACCGGCTGTGTTGCTGGCAGAAAGTTCACCATAATTATGATCACCCCTTTAGAGAACAGAACATCATCCAGGTCAGGTGTAACCATCCATAGAGGTATATCTTTCTTTCATATGATGTACACTGTACTATACTATAATTCATCTCATGGTTACCAATATATCTTTGCTTTCTATATAGTCCAAATGCCTGAATTCATCTCTATACCAAATCCATATATGCTTATCCCACCAATATATCCACTTAAATAGTACTCAACTAGATAGATTCCATAGACGACCGAGAATCAGAGTCAAGAGGAATCCACTGTCCCTCACCTTCCCAAGTCCCCGGCCTCGTAAAATCCTCATACCAAATTCCTCCCAACGCATTAACTTTAATGTACCCAAACCGGAAATACTCCGGCTCACCTTCCAAATGGCGGGTCCATTTAAACGACTCCAACATCCCATCATCAGACTTGAACGCCCGGAAGCGTTCGACATCATTAACAAGCACGCTAATCCCATCTGCATCTTTGTCTACATCATTGAAATTGAACATGATGTTCTGACGTGACATCATAACAGGAGCCCCAATGACAGGCAGGACGCTGCCCAGCTGCGCGCCGTCAAGCAATGCAGCAGACGTCTGCAGAATGCTATCGAAGCCCCAGCGGGCGATGCCGTTGATGAACAGTCCTACCAGGAGGCCTTGGTATAGGAGACTGGGGCGCGTTTGGAGTGTTGTCCCCGGTAAGAAGAGGAGGCTGAGGACGTAGTGATGAATGCGAAGGTTCATGTGCGGGACGAGCATCAGGGCGATCACGCCGCAGGCCATGATTCCATAGAGGAGAAGCATTTTGGGCATGCGGCCTTCTCTGCGGAAAGCGATGGCTTGGGTGAGAACAATGGCGACGAGGAGGCCAATGATGATGATCAAGGCGGGGATGGCGCCTGGTTGTTGTTGGATGTCGTGAGGTGTGAGGCGTGAGATGGGAATTTTGTCGAATGTGTCGGTGTTGAGGGCGCCGACCCAGCAGCTGCCGAGCCAGAGGACGGTCTTGTCCCAGTGTGCGGTGAGGTCTGTTAGAGTTTTGCGGACGCAAAAGTAGTAAATTGCAAAGCCGACGAAGGCGCAGGGGAGGAAGCGGCCTAGGGCTGTAGATACGACTTCATAGTAGTCTGGGGAGTAAGGCGGGTCGGAGGAGAGAGCGACCTGGAAGTAGACGATGAAGTAGATAGAGGCATAGAATGCTGCGGGAGACGTGATAAATAGGGATAGCAGGGTTGTTACAACGACTGAGAAGGTGAAAAGTGGCCAGCGGAGGTCCTGGCAGCTTGTTTCAGATGGCTCTCCGCTAAAGGTGAAGGAGAGTGGGAAGTATGAAGCGTATCCAATGCTTTCGATGCCGTTACTTGCCGCTGATGGAAAATTGGTTCTTTCACCCGTTCGACGCAAGACACCACAGCCGCCTTTTTGGCTATCTATCAGACCAGCGTGTAGTGCCGCAGGACAGATGGCTGAGTCTCCGCGGTAGATACCCTCAGTACTATCACCTTCTGCAGTGCCCCCGATGACAAGAGGACGATAGTTGTACTCCTCGGGGCCTACAAAATACGGCTCTAGCAGCATCGCATCTGCGCAACTTGCGGGACAGCGAAAGGCAAATGCCCCGTCGTCAAAAGGGCGACAGGAGTCACCATTCAGACCGCAGTCGGTCGAGTTTGGCCTGCATAAAGAGATTAATTTGGGAACAGTTTGGAACCGCCAGAGCACAGGTCACATACCATAGTCTAGCGTTACACGATAGCTTGACAGGCACTCCGTATCCGGATACCTGCTGGCCAGCTACAGAGGAATGCAGGATGGAGAGAAATATGACACCCCAGGTGCATATGCAGGCCAACAAAAGCCAAACTTTGGCACGAGTGCTCGGAAAATAGCGCTCCACAAGGCGGCCCGGTGCCGTCTGCCAGCGCTGCAACCATGGAGTGATCTGATACCGGTGTGGATGTGGCGGGCCTTTAATCCACGCGCGAATCCCAGAAAGCGTACATGTAAATGGCCTCGCCGCCGCTATGCGACGGGGATGATGAGTTGAAGTTGGCAATAAAGGCTCATTCGTGTTCTCTCGCCGATCGGGCCGGGCGGAGTCGGTACTTTCCCGCCCAACCGTTATGAACTGACTGCTTTCGGAGTCATTCTCATTCGGATCAAAGACTGCCAACGGGTAGTCTTGGGATGTCTTTCCAAAGGAGGAAGATGGAGATCTTGACCTGCTTCTTGAAGGGTGCTCCGGGCGCATTATTGCTCCATGGGTAGTGGGAGAAAGAACCGCGGGAGAATTCGATCCAATTCAAAGAATGAACGAACGGTTGCTTCGGAAGCTCAGCAGTTAGTCATCATGGACTGAATCCGGTAAAACCAAGACATTTAGTATAGAACCCTTGGTCCCACGAGTATTGATCTTGAAGAGTAATACCAGAACAACTATAACCTACCTGGAAGGCGTCAATAAGAGACGACCATTACCATTCAAGTATGCCAGGAAGTCCAATCGCCGAAAAGATTCCCCCTGCAGCCTCGCCCGCCCCTATTATTCCCTATTCAGCTCATTCATTGGAGAATCATCTATCACATGCCCCTGTCGATAGAAAGAGAGAAACCTGTATAGCTAAGTACGTAGTCAGTATTAGAACCTTCTCACGTACTCGAATGAGCCAATCGCTAATGAAAGCCATAACGATGGAAATCTTAGCTTCAACTTGCACTAGCCTTCTACTTCTCGCAGCCTTGCAAAGGCATTCAATCATATAACAATCAATATCGAGTTTCTTCGAGTCGTCTAGCCTGCTTGTTTGCTAGTATGGCAAGATAAAGTTTCTGCAACCCTTTGAGATAGACAGCTGCAGAATACAGAATATTTTGTCGCAGAGTTCAACCATTATGCTTCTTCTATATTGTGGTTATTTCCTTCCTTTACTTACCTTGGCTTTTCGTGGGCTCTCTTCAACAGTTCATAGTATTATGGTTTTCAGAATGATCGCCTCAATACGAGTGTGGCAATCTGAGCGTCTTACTGTAGTCAGTGGCCGCGGTCATCGGACACCTGACCACGGCTAAGCACAACCCAGCCTCACAGCCTCGTATGTATGCGCCTGTCGCAGCCTTGCTCCCTTGATCTGGGGTATATATTCTATTCCCAGACTTCATATGTAAGCGACCCTGGGGAGCGGCAACTCCAAAGGACAGAGAAGTAATCAAACCCGCAGTTTCAAGCATGACTTCTTTTATATTGAGCGACGTGCCGACGTCGCCCTCTCTAGTGCCAACATTTATCACGCCGAAGCAGTGCGTCACTCATCTTAAGCTTCTCTCAGCATTTGCCGAGTTGCGAGATGTAATCAGCAACAATGACGGACTCTTCGGGCTTTACGACCAAGGCGAACATCCAGAGAATGTTGCTCGAGACAATTATCAAGACTTAGTCAGAGAGAAGCGCTGGGCTGTATATGTTGCACGGGCTGTGAAACGATACACGGATTGGTGGTTCCGATGTCTCCCTAGCCAGAAGCCGCTCCCCACAATGGCAGATATCCGCAAGGATGCATATGCCAAAGTCGTTAAGCCTAAGAAAATAGTGCAGTGGCACGAAGATGTCCTTCCACCTCTGGGTACGTGACTCTTATTTCATTATCAGGAAACTCTGCTTGCTAATGTGAGACGTGGTGTAGATGTGCTTATGGTGTGGCACTCGCATATGCTGAACCCACGCAAGTATCTCGAGGACTGCATCCGGTATGGCAAGATGTGTGTTTGGGGTGCACGTTTCCCCTGGGAGCTTGTTGATCGTCAAATCGATGGCGCCACATTTGAATACACAACAACTGGGAAAGCGCGTCGGTATTTTGAGTCTCAGATCAATTCTAGTTGGGATAACTTGTTTGATCCGCCCACTACCACTGTTCCATGTCCAAACTGCGGCATCCAGATCGTTGTCGAATGGACAATGGGCAAAGACTTGGCAGATGTCAAGCTTCCCTTTGAGGATTTTACAGGCTTAGCTGACAAAGGCTTCCGTGCTACCTGCCACAATTGTCAATACCTGGTTGACCATGACCGGCTGAAGCTGGCAAAGTGGCGTCAAGATGTGCGGTCACTGCTGGAACAGAATCGGCCTATGCCCGGGTGCTTCTACAACTTACGTGGCGTCCCATTCCCAGTGTCACAGAGTTGGAAAGACGCGGCGTTTTTATATCCAGCAAATGGACCGTACAAACTGGATTAGGGCCCCGACTCTCCACGCCACCATCAGCCGATCAATCAAGAAGTACAGTGTCTTCTTTGGGATCATGGCTGATAACCCCAAACAAATGGCCGTACCAACATTAGATGTGGATTTAGCATGGCACACACATCAGCTTTCTCCCATGCAATACTATAACTGTAGTGTGGGCTTAGCCAGTAGCCCATTGCGGTTCATGGATCACAATGACAAGGTTGATGAGGTAGACCTGACCATTGGGTTCGAATGGACTTGCAAAGCATATCGTGAGGTTACCGATGGGGAGATCTATAGCGAATGCGTCTGTTGGTTCTGCGAGGCGGTCCGCTACCCCGATCTCTACGGTCATTTCCGCTCATCTCTATTGTGGCTTTCCGATGCTCGCAAAGCTGTTGAGGATTTGCGCAGACAGCATGATCATGCCTCTAAGTCTGACAATGGACCGCATATCTCCGTTCACAGTGCTGTCCGTCCTCAGAAGATATCTGAGGTCGACCGAATCAAGAGAGAAACCAGAGCCCTGCAGCTTCTAGAAGCTTACAGAAAGTCTCTCAGGCGAGCTAAGAAGCATTCCCGTTCTTCCAAGGCGCTTGTATCTGCCATTGCAGCCGTCAATTCTGTTGTTTTGCCAACTAGTCCGCCCACGGACACAGTTATATCACAGGACGAGATAAGTACGTCGTTCGGTGAAGATGAGGTCAACCCTGAGAGAAAAGATCATGTCCAAAACATCAAGGATGTCTTCGATGTCATCGACCATGTCGTAGACCTACTTGGCCAGCTATTTCCTAACCATCCCCATAGTATGGATGGTTCGCTTAATGGGCAATGGAATTGTATTTCAGGGACGTGCGGTTCTTCTACCGCGGGTGGGAATTGTGTCTCTTGCGGGAATGCATCTGCTTGTGGGGCTTCTGCAGGGTGCGGTGGTGGCGCCGGAGGATGTGGTGGAGGAGGAGGAGGAGGAGGAGGGGGAGGGAGCTCAGGATGCGGTAAGTTTTTTCTTGTCTTCATTTGAGGACTAGTCTAATGATGCATCATGCAGGAGGCGGTGGCGGGGGATCTTGATATCGGTAACTGCACCACTATTGGTAGCGCAGCTAATATTCCGGAAAGATCTGGAGATTTATTGCTCTTGGTGATGACTGCATCGGAGGAAGTTCGACTAGATCATGGTAGGAGTACTCTTTCATGACTGACAACAGAAAAGAAGGGGCGACCAGGGACGAGTCTGCAAGGATGTTATTACTTGATCACCTGATTTATGCATGTAATTTCACAAGATTTCTCTTGTCATGAAAGACTTGTAGCGCATTGATTAGATGATTCATCTCTTGCATTATAATATAGGTAAAGTAAGATATCTAAATGCGCGTGCTGAACATCAAATGTCTTGCTTTAGCACTCAAATTTGGCATTTATCAGTGTGGGTATAGTAACGAATGGACGCCTTAGTACCTCTAAAAGCAACCAGCTCAAATAGCTATAGGTGGGTATTATAAGCAAAGCAGAAATCATGGTATCATCTCATCACCTCAGAACCTCCACCACACATAGAAGCAAAATATCGAGCAGTATTAGTGTTGGCGGCAATCATGTATTAGAAGCATTAATTAACGTTTCACGTGAAAAGAGCGTTAGAGTCGCAAAGTCTGCCTGTCGCAGAATACATGCGTGGTATCTCCGAGACTCAGTTTAATGAAGCATTCGTTGTCCATGGTGCAATGGACCAGCTAATAAACATCGAGAATTGTTTTCAATGTTTACACGGCGGAGCGACCGAAGAAGCGACGGCGACCACTGATGCGAGCTTATTAGTGTCGAGGTTCTCACAAAGACGGTGATGGTGTGACTTACTAGGTAGGGGCAGTGCTTTCCTTCCTAACACGGAAAGTGAACCAAAGACCCTGTATCACGATCGTCAGTATGCATCAATAGCCAGCAGGGGGTTATGAGAACATACCACAAGCGCCGAGGCAAGCCAGACAATAGCCGAGATGAAGCTGAACGCTTCAGCGGCCTTCCAGCGACTGCAAGTATTGTTGCGGTAGAGACCACCCCAGTGCCAGATACTGCCGCAGCTCAACTTGTGAATGGCGTTGACAAGGATACCGAATGCGGCAAACCATGCAAGGGAGATGATGACGTCAACTGCGGGAAAGGGGGGCCGAGTCAGCAATTGCGGAGGAGTAGAGGGGGGAAATGCGACAACGTACATGGCCAGGAGAAAAATCCAGAGGAAAATGGTATGAGCCATATCAGGCCAAGGAGGATTGATAACCCGGCGACGACTTCGGTGTAGATCCAGCGGGCTTCAGGCCATGCGTCACCGCTGTATTGGGCAAGGTAGTGACCAATGATACCGGCGACGACCTATTCAAGTCCATATGTTAGCGTATAAATCGAGATAGAGTAGAATAATCTATATGGATCATATTGAAATACATACCGCACCGCAAACAATTTGCGCGACGCGGAAGACGATCGAGATTAGTCGGGAGATAACAGGCATGTTGGTGATTAGGTGAGGTGGAGTCGATGCAAATGCAGGGTCGCCAATAGTATGATGTAGGAGCTGTCGGAGCAAGCACGAAGTAAACAACTAGCGTCACTGAAGTACGAGGGACCAGAAGTAAAACCGTAGGATAACCAGCAAGAAGCGACGAGAGAAAAGAAGATGAGGCGGAGGTGTGATTTAAATAATCGAAATGACGATCAAGCTTCTCAGAAACGCCGATGATCCGCGACACGAATTTTCATGGGCGAGGCAAGACCAAGAAGGACTAGAGGGGGGAAATAAATTTCCCTTGCTCATCGACTCTTTTCTGGTAATTCTAGTCTGTTCTGATCACCGGGTCTGCCAGTGACATGACATCGCTTTTGGCACTACGATTGGCCAGCCGACAATCTTGCGTCCTGCCCAACGTCCAGTGCGCAACATTCTCCTCAACCAGGCTGGGTAACTGATCGACCCGCTGGCGAGAAGTGGATAGGGATAGGGTGGGAAGGTTTTACAAAGTAGATTTTTTCTTGTCAATTCGGTGTGAAGAAACTAAATTAATTGGTGGTTCTTTTGGGATCGGGTGAGAGCGTCACAATGCTACAATGGGCTGTGTTTGCGCCGCCTCCGCAGCTCCAGGTACGAAGTTATCATTCTATGGTCCAACTTATAGGCAGCCATGAAATAGGTTCCACATATAAACGAACCACGTCTCACTCAGCCACATACTGTACATCTCATCGTATAATCTGCAGAGCGACCTACTTTAAGGCTGAACCACTCGCTTGAGAAAAAATAAAATAAAACTGCTTGGAAATCGAACCTACCAAGTATTGCTCTCCACTGGTCCCCAGCACTAGGCTATTGTTCCTCTCCACCGCACATCCACCCGCTAACTTCAATAGCGCCCCGACTTAACCCCCTCCGGTTTAGGGGATCGTTGCCAGTCCCTTCTTTTCTCCTAGTGGGTGTGTGAGTGACCCATGTTTCTCCCGCCCTGTGGATGGAGTACTTTGTTAGAGTCAGTCCATCCGACTACCCATCCATCCGCCCGGGTGACCCAAGACTGAATAATCGGATCAGTTACCCATGGAAGGGAAATGGAAAAAGGGGGGAAGGAAACGACTCAAAAAGTAAACACGCAGAGAAAGCACCAGAGCTGGAACACTGGTTGTGACGTCAGGGGAGAGATGCGTGGCAGCCTAGAACACGTCGTTTATGTGGCGCTGCCAGTAAAGGTTGGTTGTTGTTGTACAGGAACCAGTGGGCACAACGTAGTAAAAGCCATTAAGTTAATTTGTAGATACTAGCATAGTCTCCTTTGTCACTATAATCTTGGCCGTGTACTTGGCTGTTTACACACCTACGTCATTTTTCACATTCCGATCATTTGAGTGACAGCAGTCGAGATGCCATGGCCTGGCCGGTGTTCGTGCCCTTCTCCGCCAGTGGTGGGTGTTGCCTGATCTATCTACTTAAGTAATTCTGCTTACTGGCAGCAGAATCTGTTGCGGGAGAATTCTGCAATATTCTAGGCTCATTTTATTGGTAATATCTTACGACTTACCACTACAGTTCCCGGCAAAAAGTGTTGAAACGACGTTTTAGGTCAATACTGAAGTCGTAAGAAACGCTTGATTCTTCCTATCTAGGCGCGCTCGGAAGGAGCGATTGAGGTTACAGTGTTGTCGGGTCACGTGACCTCGACTACGAGTAATCTACTGGAATTACGTTCTAACATTATCTAACTGTTAAAAGCCATGTGTAGGCATTGACAGTCTTATCGGTAGGGACCGTACGGTTATTTAGGTAAAAAGCATTAATCGAATGGCAACAGTCTGTTTTATTTACATCATATCCGGCAGAAAGATCGTTGTTTTGGAGAGTTGCGAAGTGGCCGCAATGGCTGCCAAAACGTGCTAGGCATTGTGAAAGCCTGGGAGGACGCAGGTCCTCCTGTCAAGGCTCAAGTCGCCATATAGAATCGCGCTGCGATTCAGCCTCCGCATTTCACAGATTGTCACACCGCTGGCCTAGGAATTTAGATGAGAAAAGTTTGGAATCCAGGGTATCAAGATGGTCATTTTGATGGTAGAGTAAGATGAATCCAAGTCCCTGCTACAGCCCAGAGTATGGTGGTAATTACATAGGCTTACTGACAGTCGCATTCCCAACTGATATAAAGGACGAAGAATGGCAAGTTGGCGGCTGTGTCTATCGCGGTGTTCTTTACAGAGGCTAGGAAGGTTGCCGGATTAAGTTAATATATAATCCAATAGATATACAACGAGAAAGCAGCTTGTACATGGAAGATTTAGAATATCAAGATAACTGTATATTCGTTTCTGACAGTACGGTCTACGCAAAGCAGTACGCCTTGGTAAGATGTTGGTATTAACTTGTATGATATAATTATAACTATAGCTCTCGGACTGTTTCAATGCGCTGTGTTACAGGGACCAGGAACTCCGCGTCTCCCAAGTGGATTCTACACCTTGTATGAACCCGTATATTACAGATTGACAAGAAAGTGAGAACTCTTGGGCTTTATAGAACATAAGAATCTACAGCATGGATTGTAAGAGAAAGAGAGAGCGCTGGCACCCCGAAGGGATTGTTAGAAGGAACATTGGGAATACGATCAGGATAGACAAAGACCAGGATTACCAAGTGGTTCCTTTTATTTGTGTCGCTCTTACCGAGTTGGGTGATCGTCAAGGAGACGTGGAGCGGTTGATGGAAATGTACGCTCCCTGTAGGTTACCGTTAGTACCGGTGTATACGTACAAACTGGCAGCCAACAGTCTTACCGTATAGTCGTCATGACTATCAGTCACTGTGCCAATGACATTATCTGCCTGGGTATTGATAGCGCACACATCAGACCAGATCCGTGGCTAGGGCATGATCTAGACTGAGCACTGCGCCTCATATAACCAACTCCTCTAGTTTCAGAAGGACCTAAGCAGAAGAACCCGACTTTTAGCAACAGGATGCTCCCCTGACTAACGACAAACAAACAACGCAAGCAGAAAGACAACCATATACTTACATTCTCAATATACTTGACTCCAACCACAATCCCATCTCGATCCTGCAATTCCTTCGGGTCCCACAAAGCATTATCCACGCTCTGGTCCAGGCAGCACAGACAAGCAAGGACAATCCCGGTAAACCGCTCCCCGACCAAACTCGGCAGCGCATCCCTGGCCATGTCCACCAGCCGCTCCTTGACGGCGAAGGCGCCGCGGCGCTGGTCTGTATCCTGTAGGGCTGCTGTGATATTTAGGCCGGACCAGGGGGTTACTTGCCCCCGACTATCGAAATTGACGAATGATTCCCACAGCGCAATCTCGAGCAAGCATACGCCAAGACTGTAAATATCGTGTCGCATCTCGAATATCTCCTCTGGCTGCAGACCTTGGCGGAGGGGATGGCGGTAGAGGTTCTTTTCCCAGTCTAGATCCCCAAATTTGTCGGTGCGGCCTTCTGCCCGCCGGATTCGCTCGAAGCCGATCAGGAATGAGGGACCTAGACGGTCGCTGGTGTCGTCTTGGAAGGCGATGATTGTCCCCGGGCGGATGTTCTTATGCACGAAGCCGGCGGCGTGCACGAACATGACTGAGTGCGCGAGTTGCTTTGCTAGCAAAAGTCGTTGGGTTAAAGAGCATTTTTTACCGTTGCCTGTGTGCGGCAGAAGGCTCCTCAAGGCCTTGGGTTTCGATAGCTGCAGGTTTTGAGGGATCTCGAACAGTAGATGGAACTGGTTTCCCTGGGTGGTTGGAAGTTCGACGATGCCGTCACATCGCAAGAGGTGAAATGTCGATGGGTCAACATGCCGGAGTAGTCTTGCTAGATCGCGAATGTTCTGCCTCAATGTCGCTGGAGATATCTGACTCTGAGCGTGGCCTAGGTGGAGGTTCGCTGGGTCGAGGAGGACACGGCGAGGTGTGTTATTCAATCTTGACAGGTATGCATCAGTTCCTTCCACCCTGTACATCCCACTACTGACCGCAGCAGCATCTTTGAAGTTTGGTCCATCACTGTCAGACGGGAGGCTCTGAGGGGAAATTTGCTGGATGGACTCTCGCATCCAGGTCAGCCGCGCAGCAGGTGATGGGAAGGTCGACGAGGACGGGTGCGTATGCTGGCTGCGGCGAACATCGCGCAGCCGCCTATCAACGTCCGGGTCGGCAATCCTGGTGATGAGATACCAGGATGGGTCGAATCTTCTTTGCCACCCCTCAAGATCCTCGACCGTTTGGCTGAGCTCGCGCTTCAGGTATACGGCCTTGAGCTTCTGGTGTACATGAAAAGCCTCGTTATTCTTTCGTTGAATGACCTGGAAGCTGTCAGTGGCTTTGGCGAGCTTGGCCTCAAGTAGGGTTAGCGCATCATGGTAGAGCAAAAGTAATGGGTAGTCCAGCTTGTCGCAAAGAGATCGCAGCGACTTGAGCTGGATGTCCATTTTTATCCAGGCTGCCTGAATCGATAGGATAATCTCAGCGAGGTCAGAGGCCAGGCTCTGGTATTGACGACATAGGCCGATAAGTCTGTTCCCGTACCTGCAGGGTTGATTAGTGAGCGGAAATGGCGCGGGCAATAGATGGATGTACTTGAAGCAGAGGTCTGTCACGCTGACCACCGCCAGAGCGAGAGATACTGGGTCCATTTCGTCAGGCTGTTACAGCTAGATACGACTGAGCGAGATAGAGTAATCTATCCTTTGTTATCGAGATTTGGTGCGGCAAATTGAACACTTAGAACACTACCAGAGAGCCAGATATATGAATTTTGATGAGATCACCGAAGGGTACGAGGTAGGGAAGTACGAGGCTGAGCCCGACAGTCCCTGACAAATGACGATCCTGGTCGGGCGGCGAGGCTGTGCCCGACAGTCCCTGACAAATGATGATCCTGGTCGAGCGAGGCTGAAGCTAGATGGTCCTCCCCTTGGTGCGGACTGTACTGTACACGTCAGCCCCTGCATTTAACGATACTCTTCTGTCTAGGTAAACACGAATTTTGATGAAAGGCGAGAGAGCACTGTTTTGGCAAAATGGCGGCTGTCAACGACCTTCTCGCGCCGTTCAAACTCGAGATTAGGGATTTCGGAGACCGACGAAGAGAGATTACGTACGAGCCCGGCGCTTGCGAGGGGACCAAAATTGAACTCACAACATTGTGGACGCGAAAGCGCTACTTCACTCACAAGAATACAGTCTACAAGAATGTATATCTGGATGAGAACGTAAACGGACAATTGCGGGTGGTCAAAGAGATACTCCATCAACCTGGCAGCGACCGGAACCGCTGCTCAGAGCTAGAAGCAGCAGCCAGAATAGCCAGGGATGTAGGGTAGGTCTTCGGCGGGCACCTCCTCCGAGCACATGATGTTTGGCTCGCTTCTCATCGTCGTCCAGGCCCGAGTACACCCGCCTGTTTGTGGAGTTCCAGGGCTGGTTTGAGATCCGGAATGGAGTCTCCCTCGTGCTGGAGTACTGTGCACTGGGTGATATCGACCAGTTCTTCCCGGAGCGCGTGCCAGAGAATGTAGCACGAACGGTTGCGGGACAGCTACTCGAGGGGATCTCTGTCTTGCACTGCCTTGGGATTGCACATCGGGATATCAAGCCCCAGGTAGGACAGTTCCTAGCGGCCCTGCAACCTGTCGCTTACGCGTAAAAGAACGTCCTCGTGGCCCAAGCAGATCCGATTGTGGTCAAAATTGCGGATTTCGGAGTCAGCAAGTACACAGCTGACCGGAGCATCCTAAGAAGCCGCGTAGGGACCCCGGAGTACATGGCACCAGAGCTTCTGTTCGGCGTGGCAAAGGAGTCTGATTACTCAAATGCCGTGGATATTTGGTCGCTGGGGTCACTGCTGTATTATCTCTTATCCAAGCAGCTTGCATTCCCGGAGCTGCAAATGCTCAATGCATTCTATCAGGGCCACGTGCCCTTTCCAGAACCGCCTCTTTTCCAACTCGGGGTTGGAAGCTCTGGCCGGAGCTTCATCCGGTCCTTGATGTGTTCTGCGCCCGAAGATCGCCCAAATGCATCCAAAGATTTGCTAGAAAAGTGGGAGATTCAGGCAGATCATCACCAGACGGTGGAGGAGTCAATTCCGGGGATAGACAATACCGGATTAGTTCGAGAGTCAGAAGGCCAAGCGATGACAAGCATCGACCACGTCTATGTCCCAAGTATCGCTGAAGTGCCAATGGTAAGTACCTAATGCCGGAAAATTACGCTACTTCCACCACTAATGGCATTCAGGACTATGTGACCTCAGAGCTCTTCGACATCGCGGCAGGCCCCAAGGAAGACATAAGGCGCACTCGAGGTCTTCTTGAATCAAACGCCAACCCGAGTGCGATGCGGAACGGACATACGGCCCTCCACAAGGCAGCAAGGCAAGGCTTTACGGATACAGTGCGACTTCTCCTCGGATACGGGGCAGACACCTTGATCAAGACGCAGCCTTATGACGAGACAGCGCTGCACCTGGCCACTTATCGCGGCGATTCTGATGCGTTTATCGTCATGTTGGACCTTCTTGCTGCCCACGGTGTGGACATCAACGCCCAGGACGCAACGGGTAACACGGCGCTCCATCTCGCCATAGTCAGACTAAGCCGGGTCGAAGCGGTGGAGTTGTTGCTTGAGCGCGGTGCCCGTACTGACCTGCTTGGTAGGAGTGGGCTAACTCCGCTGCAGTACGCGATAACATTAGACAGGGAAACACACGCGAAAGAGTTACTTGACAGGGGCGCTGACCCGAACGTACCCAGTCCCGATGGACGCAGGCCACTGCACCGGGCAATCATGTCCGGGCGGATCTCGTTGCAGTTGATCGAGCAGTTGGTCATGAAGGGTGCCGAGGTCAATGCGATGGATGACGAGGGAGTCCCGCCACTGCACGCAGCTATCCGACAAGGCAGGTCAGACGTCGTGCGGTTCCTCGTGGAGAAGGGTGCCGACACCTCGCTGGGCTCAGCGACGATGGAGAGACGCCTGAAGGGCATGCTAGGCAAGCAAAGTCTGCCCTGGCCTCTGCGAAAATAAAAGCTGCCTATATAAACCCGTGGTTACCGCTCACAGCAGAAGAAACGGAACACAGATACTAGAAAATCACTGATATAACTGTATTTTGGTTATTTATAGTTGAAATATATTCCGTCTAAGAAAGGCTTAGATTTCTTATACTATCATAGGTATTCTTCTCTGTGTATTTATTCTAAGGTTACGGAAATATCGGGAAAAAAAAAAAAAAAAAAATTATGGGAATGTCCGTACTTTATCTGATAGGTATATGCTCAGACAAAACTTCCATGCAGTATGTCGCCTAAATGAAGAATATACAAGGTCTGACCATTGCTCTAGTCAGTTAAGCCGAGGTTTGGTCTGGTGATTAAAGGCGTCAACAGTAACGACAGTATGTTTACCGTTAGCCTTAGTATTTTTAAAAACAGCCCTGCTCCCGTATGGCACTCAACTCTTGCGCTACTAATAATAATAATCACGGTCCGCATGCAGAGTGGCTTCATGTAGACTTCCACAACAGGATCAAACAAAGCTGTAGCTGCGAAAGGTGGGCGCCGTATCGATGGATCCTAGGCGAATTGCTCGAGTACCGTATTCAGACTCCTCAAAAGTTTCGAGCTTCACGCGCTGCCTCAGAAATATTCTTTTGAAGATGTACGGGGTGTAGACCCGGATACGGTAGGCGACACGATTGACAAGCGAGGCCTGCAAGAGAGCCAGGATCTCTTCTAAAGTGCGTCCTCTGGTCTCTATCAGGAGCAGGAAGAGGAGGACCATGCACACACAATGCAAGAAACTAGTTACATGTCTATAAGCATCACTCAGCAAGGAGGCAAGCAAACTTACAAAAAGAATGATATCGGAGCTCCAAGAAAATAATTTGGAGAGAGTGAAGCAGGCCTATTTTTCACAATGTTGACCATCCAATAGGCTAGGCCAGTGTCTTGAAGTAACGAAACAGTCAAGGTGGCTGCCATTGCTTCCTCTAAAGCTCATTAATAAAGTCGAACGATGTCTAGAGTTGGCGAAACACCTACCGCGGCCGACTGAACAGGATACTTCTGCTGCATATATTTCCCACACTATTTTGTGAAAGAAAGACGGTACGACAAGCAAAAAGGAGATCGCGATTGAAGGGTATGATAACATCATGGCGAAGATGATGCAGGATACGACGGACATGCTTGCCAATATCAGTCCCCGCCGACCAATCCGCTCAATGAGGTTGATTGACAGTGGAACAAGAAACATTATCAGAGCGCCGGTAATGATTAATGGGACGAAAAGTGTCGTAACAAACTGGATACCATACTCCTGCACGCCTTCGAGAAAGGAGAAGATAAGCAGCGTTGCTAATACTTTAGGGACGATCGTCGAAAGTAAGAAGACGGTCGTGATTGCCAGCGCCTGTAGCACAAGCCTTACTGTTGTTCGTCCAGCCTTTTGTGTCCCGATCAAATAGATTCTGTAAAGGTCACGGCTGGCTTGCATAGCAGTGCGGCGACACCTAATCAGAGCTTTATAAGCTTGCCGCATTTCTCCGTTGCGTGCATGCCAATACGGGGACTCTGGAGAGACCCGGAAACACATCCACAGCCCTACCAGGCAAAGTGCGATGAGCCAGTACGCATGGCTCGAAAGATCAATGTTTTGAAAGATGAGCTGACTAAAGAGCAATATTGCGCCGGATTGAGATCTATATTTTTCACACATCAGCCACTTACTGCTTCTAGAGGAGTGATACGAACGCTTGCCAGGCGATGAAAATACTACCGCGCTGTGAGACCGGAGCCGTCTCCGCAATATACATAGACACGATACAAGCGAACATTCCACTGGTCGTAGCAGGGAACGCTTTATACGTTGGGGTTGAGAACTTTGGAAATACCAGCAATACCAAAAGACTGGCAAGCCTCAGGCCTACCACGCCATACCCTGCACCGCGGCGTCCAAGTAGCCTGAGCAGTGGTATCGCGCACCAGAGCCCGACAATCTTGGCAATCCATACGCTCCATCCTTCCATCATTTTTACTATGTGTTTTGCTATTTCTGTTCCAGGTTCTGCGTCTGAAGGATCCATGTCAAGCAGCAGCTGTTCAAACAAGAGTTCCGTAAAGCCCCTAGTATAAAACATCAGCGTTTACCCTTCACGCTGTGAGGTTCTTACCAAAGAAGGCCTCCTATTGTGCACACACATGGAAATCGCCAAGGCCAGTTGAATAAAGTCCTCGAGAATACAGGAATCGGTTGCCTTTCCAATGCGAGTGCCCTGGTCTCCTCATCGGCCAAGCATTCAAAGCATCCGATATGATCGGGATCATCGACGAGGAGGGCGCCCGTCCGGATCTCGTCCCGCAAGTCGTCTATATCATACTTGGTCACGAACTCATCGGCGTCGAGTAGGATATGGTGACTTCGCAGATCTGGCCTCCTGTTTTTGGCACGTTAACCGCTGACAGCAGAGGCTGGACTAGGCGCCGGCGTACCGAGGAGAGATAGCATTGAAACCACTCATTGCTAGATCTGGTATCGGATATATCCCTTTGTTTTATTAAATCCAACAGCGTCCAAGGGTCTTTGAAGTTAGGGTCGAGGGATGGACCGCGGTGTTGGGAGAAATTTAGAGAATTGGATGCACCGGCGATCTGATGGCATGGTGATGACGCGGACGGGCGCAACCTGCAGGTGCCCAGCCCAGCCTCGCAGCTTCAAGGGCAAACCACCATACTTCTATTAATAGCGGTCGGCTATGCACATTCGCCAAATATACAGCGACCCAACCAAGTAAATGGTATCTTTTGGACTCGGACCGCTTGCAGAGCTCGAGGTGCAGTGCGGTGGTCGTAGACTTTCCAAGTTTGCTATCCCTATCCATTACGCGCCGATGTAGTATGCCGTGCCCGTTTCGAGAGGTAGACTACTTGTATTTTCCGTAACAGACAGAAAGCTTCAAATGAACGTAATCCTAACTTTGGATACATGAGGACTCTTGCATTTGTACCACAACTTAAAAGTTGGCTTGGAAGATATATCATATTCCCGAGTTTTCGATCAGGGCAGTCGATTGCCCCCCAAGCGTTTTTAGTGGTCGATTACCAGAACGGCTATCGTGTCAACCGCCACCGCCGAGTTCCCTGAGCTTCCACACCTCGAGACGGCTCTTCCCCGCCAAGTCTCCGTAGGTACACGGAGGCTCTGTATAATTAGCTTACGGCAACCAAGGGGTCAGCGCCGGAGAATCTTTCCACGGGCGTTGGCTCTGGTTTTAAGGGATACTGCCTGAGATCTGACCGACTTCTACGTGACTTCTGAGCTTGTTCCTGTTCCTTAAATCGTGTTTCACTATATCATAACTGATTTTCTATTCCGTATATAGCTTAGCCAATAGCTCGTCTGAACGAAAGTCTTAAGCAATTGACTGTTCTATCTTGTAATAGAAACGTAACAGCGCCATGTCTGAGTGACTTATCTGTAGTCATCGAGCGCTAGTTATCATTCCTAGTGATTGATTCATTGTCGGGTCTAAAAGATGGCCCAAGTTTGCCTAGCTCTGAGTGGCCGTGGATGGTGATACAGCTCAAAAGAGCAAAAGCAAACGAGAGATTTGGGCAGTCCAGCAGCAATAACATGTAAGCCCACCGCAACGTGACATGCATAGGCAGAGTGACATGAACCTGAGTTTCCTCGGCTCGCTTTGGCGAGCACGATTACTAGCAATGTCCATGTCGATCACATCAGCAGATTGCCTCGATTTTGTTAATGCTGCTTCTCGGTGGCTCTCAGCATTCAATACGCCAAAGGATGACCCCACTGAGCAGGAACATGCTGAGGACCTGGATCTTTTGGGCTGTTTTCATATCTAGGTTGAGGACCAGCTTCACAGGTGAAGCCAAGATGGTGACGTCGGTGAGGACATCCACTATAATAGAGTGGACGGAAGTCGAGATTGGCAACTGACAATTCCTAGCTATGTACTGGCGCTAGTATGGTGAATGGGGAGTCACATCGACACGTTGCCCAGGCTTCCGTGTCCAAGACGAGAGAGCGGGATGCACTGTATTAAGGCAACGAATGTCAGGCTCCATTATATGAGACTACCGCGACTCCAACGGCAAGGGACATGATCTGGAGCCATCATATGGGGAATATCCGATGGTAGTAGAGAGGTTACGATGTCTTGGTGGCCATGATGGCGAACGAGTAGCAGACACAGGCGGCGATGTAAACCTACCCCAGCCGGATCGGGGAAGATGAGCTGTCTGCGGAAGGGAAAGGACATCATGGCTGCCATACATGGACGAACTCCTTAATTCTTTTGACCAAAACAATGTATCGGCCCTCGCCATTCTCGAACGAAAGTGCCAGGTCCAGAAACCCCATCCGATCGGAGCCCGCGAGCGACGCTATCTGGACAGCACTCGGGCCAGGGCCGCGGCTAAAGCGGAGAAGAACCCACCAACATTAGTTGTTAGCTCATTGAGTCTCAAGTCATCACTGGCATGAGCCTGATAATAGCCAATTTGTTGGGGCGTCAGGCTGCCGGTACAAAGCGAAAATGTGAGTTCTCCAGTGAGTGCGACGAGAGGAAACGAGAGGAAATTCGTGGAGGAAGGTCGGCCGCGGCCTTCTAGCTGGGGGGGGCTAGAGCATATACTACCATTGACGGGAAGCATAGCCGCAAGAGGGGAAAGACTAAGAACGCCGCAATCGTGGGATTAGTGTCCAGTCCCCTCACTACAAATACAGCCTCCAGACAGGGAAGACTGGTACGACTGAGCTGATAGGCCGCCCTCATTCAAATCCAGCCAATACTGACCATCTGATGGCCATAGTGATCGTCGACGTGCAGCTTTTGGTGCCTGTCGGCGCCGCATGGATCATGGTTCGGCCCTTGTCTATTCCCCACTGCAAGTGGAGATATCTGCGGCCAATTCCCCCTCCCATCACATCAGACAAAGAATCGCTCAACACCGATCCAGGATGTTAGTGGGAAAGACAAACTAGAGGAGACGGTATCGGCGAGAAGCGGAACATCCTGGTGGCACAATGACAGAAACAGGAGGCTGTCTGCCTACTTATTCCCTGTCACCCCGCCTGCGTCCCATGCTCCCTCCGTCCCTCAAAAATCACATCTCTTTTATTTCTGGCAGTATTTCTTAGCGATCCCATCCCAACCCGACGCCCTTCAATATGTCCGGTGAAAGCTCAATGCCATCCGGTGTCCTTCTGCTAGGCAGTATCCCTCTCTCCTCGACGGAAGAGGTCTTCAACAAGATTCCTGCCGCGCTGCCAGGACGACTATTCGCCATTCCAGACGGCGAGACGGGCATTCGCGACAACTATATCCGATGGCAGGTCGATTGTTTCCCCAAGGAGACCATCCATCAGTTCCTGGGAGGAACCGACGTGCCCGCCGACCATCCCGGTTTCACCCTAGATGACATTAAGCCGACCCAGTATGACACAGTTGCGTTCGAATCCTACCAAACCTTCCTAAAGCTCCGGGAGCAAAAGGTCATCCCACCCGGAGTACGATTCCAGGTCTCGCTCCCTCTACCACTCAACTGCGTGCAGGGTCATACGAGAGCAAAGTTCCATGCTCAGCTGGACCCCTTGTACGAGCAGCGCATGATTGAATCGGTCCAGTCTATTATCCAGAACATTCCTGCCCATGACCTCGCCCTCCAGTGGGACGTCTGCTTCGAGGTCACGGCGCTTGAGAATGAGCGCGGCCGGCTCACGGATCCCTTCTTCAAGCCTCATTTCTCTCCAGTAATGGAGGGGGTTCTGGAGCGTATTCAGCGCGTCAGCAACATCAATATCATCCCCGCTGAGATCCCGCTCGGTTTTCACTTGTGCTACGGGGACCTGGGGCACAAGCATTTTGTCGAGCCGGAGGATCTCGGTCTCCTGGTCGATCTGGCCAATAATATTCACAAGCGTATTCATCCTCGCCCAATCACTTGGGTGCATATGCCTGTGCCCAAAGACCGAGATGATATCGCCTACTTTGAACCCCTGAAGAAGCTGGAGCTGAGCCAACATGCCCGGTTGTATTTGGGGGTCGTGCATGCCCACGATGAGGAGGGCACCCGCCGGAGGATCCAGACGGCCAAGTCAGTGGTGTCTGATTTTGGAGTGGCGACCGAGTGCGGTATGGGACGGACTCCAGCTGAGGAGCTTCCCAGTATCTTGGAGATTTCCAGAAATGTTTCTTCGCCGGTGTCTTGACGGGTTTGTGGAGCGTGGTGCTTTCTGTATAGACTTGAAAGTACTGTATATAGAGCAATGAAAAGCATCATCTAGTTTCTGTTTAGAAGGTGGTGAATTCAGCGGTGAGCATCCTCAGGCATCAAGATACAGTTTTGCTTGATGGCCGCCAATCACTGCCGTTGCTGACTTTCACCCCGATGTAAGGGAGCGCACAAGAGCTACGTAAATACAGGGGGTGCCCTCCGAAGAGCGCACGATACCTGCTCTAAATAAGAGGCACAGCGCAGCTCGTTCCCATAATTACATTCATATAATGCTATTGATACATTGAAAGTAGGGCGTTAAAGAACACCACGAGAAAGCAAGCTGTCGTCCTCAAGATATCTCAAGTCGCGTCCCTCGAAAGAAAATAAGACGGGAGACCAACAGGCAAGGGAATCCAGGAGATAAGACATTAACGCATTAGACTGGGAAATCATCTGTCGTACTACACATGCTTCCGATCAGCAAGAAACCATTCCATGACGGTGCGGAAAACCCCCTTCGCGCCGCTCTCGACCACGTCCCCATGGCAAGGAATCAGGCGATTGAAATCCCACTTGTCGATTCTGCGAATGGACTCTGTGAATGCCTGCCGATCTCCACTAGACAGGATATACCAGGCAAATCTCTTTTGCCAAGTCGCAGGTGAAGAAGCGGACATCAATGGAGAGACCATCTTGGTAAAAATGCCCGACGTGGCGCTCTCTTGGGTCCTAGAATACTGCTCTCTGGCAGGCAAGTTGAACAAAAGATCCGCCTCGATAAGTGTGCGGGACGGGCGATGGTAGAAGACAAGTTCGCGCGAAGGGTGGCCATGCACATATTCCGTTTCAAATTCCGCGTCAAATTCTTCTGAAATCTTCTGCTGTCCATTGGCATCCTTTCGGAAAACATGTTCGAAAGGTGCAGAGTCCTTAGTTTTGGGGTTCGACTGGCGCTTTTCCCAGAGCCCTTCGGGAGCGATAATTGCAGCATCAGGGAATGCCTCTTTCCACGCAGTCAAGTGAATATGATGCTCCATATCCAGAGCCGCAATGTATTTGACATTGCCACCGAGACCGGTGATGGTATCGCGCACTTCTGGGGTCAGATTAACAGGAGAGAAGACAGCGACAGAACCCGTTTCCATTTTAACTATTTTCACCAACGTTGTGAGATACCGTTAGCATGAGAATGTAAGTGATGCTCACAGTAGAATCACAATGATACCAAGGGAGCGTGAGCCTGAGTAGAAGAATAAGGAATGAAGTGCGAACCAAGTGTACCACGTCCACCAAACTTGAGCCGACCGAAACGCGCAAATGGCAAACTTAAGGTGATGACATTGGAAGTCACATTGCGGATCACCATGACCTCTGAAGGATTCGCGGGGAAGAGCTGGGGCGCCATGATGAATGTTGTGCGGCGGAGCAGCGATTTGGTGAAACCAAGCTGCTGACGGGTGGAAGACCACGAAAGTCTAGTGATGTGAAAGTGTGTACAAAAGAAGATAAGGTCGCGATCGATCGGGGACGAGCAGCTCTGCCTGGGGAATTCACTCGGGCTCAGAGCCTATGACGTAAGGCACCCAGGGCCCGTCCTCTTGTGTTCCCGCAACCAGCAGGAGCGATCGGTGTTACGTGCCTGGTGAATATTTCCGGAAGCTGCTAAGCTACTCTACTTTCGTATAATGAGTATCTAACTCTAACTTGCCAGTCCTCGAGGGAGGTCGGACCATTAATCCTATTTACTTCTCCACATAAGCTGTCAACCACATGCCAATTGTCAGGGACTCAGCTGGGTGGGGTTTGCAATTGGAGATTAAGTTGGGAGGTTGTCCTGGAACCAATGACGATCTGGCCAGCAGCACTAGTTGCCCACCAGGGACCATTGTTTATCCCTCTGCTGAATGCAAAACCTTGGGGACAAGCTCTGCGATTCTGTATTTATGGACCATGCCTTGTATCTAATCCATTCGAGACACCCATACGCCGTGACAAAATTCATTCTCAAAATGCATACCAACACCGTTAACACAAAATGGGTATCACGATATCCACAGGCGCATGATCAAAGCACTACCACAAAATAGAATCAATACACAACGCACTTCTCAGAACGCATTCAAATCATTTCCTCTTATCCTTGCCAGGATTGTGCTGTATTTTGCGTCTCTTCCTCCCGATGAGGAATGATGGGGTCCTTGATGTCATAGACTTGGACCAATTCTTGCCAAGTCTCAAAGTCGAGTGTGAAAATGGCCTGACGCTTCTTGATGCCCAATCTCTGGGCTTCACTAGGCGCATGAGGCTTTGCAGAATCTGGTTGAGGATGGTCAATTAGATGCCCACATCATCGAGGGTACTGAATAGGACTTACGCAAAGTGGGCAGGCCCCGGCTATCCACTGCGATTCCAACCAAGCCATCCCGGACCAAAAAGCTAACGTAGAATAGATTCTCTACACTTTGTCCGAAAGAATTTGGGTTGATGCAGAACTGGAACAGAGGAACACCTCCATCATCGGCTACATTGTTCCTCGCCATCACCTCTTGCACCGTATCTTCGTCGGGCTCCTCGGATAACTGCGACAATTCTGCCTCTACCACGTCCTGTCCGTTGTTTTGGGTTCTTGCCAAAAGCCGATTGATGCTGGCACACATAGTAGTCAAATTCGATGTTTCTTGCCTGTCCAGGTCCTTTTCCTGCAGCTCTTGCGGTGCAACGGCCCGTGCTGGGTCAATTCGTTCACGGGCTCTTCGTACAGGTTGCTGTCGGACGCGCTTCTGTACCGAAAGCGGTCCCAGTAGGAAGCCAGGAACTGATGGTCGGGCATTACTACAGAAACAAGCAGCGCGTCCGAGCCAGTCCCAGTTCATCGCATCCCCTTGGTCCTCGTCGCTGTCGTTGGGGTCCATTTGAGTCCTTCCGATACCCGTCCGCCGCCGTTGGGTGCTGGAAGGCATCGAATCTTGGGAATCCGCAGGTGCCCGGCGCATAAAAGAGATACACTTCGAGACAAACTCGTCCACATCTATTCCTGCACTGGCGTCTCCCAGCACCAACTGTGCCGTCTTTTTGTATGAGAGATCTGCCGCTTGAACAAGCAACCGTGAATCGATGGTTGCGTCAGAAGTCTGCTTGACATTCTCAAAGATCTCGTTCGCTTTCTTGATGGTGTCACGCAGGCCCTGATTTCCGGACTGTAGATATTCATTTCTAGAGTCTACCATAAATTATGTCAGACTCGGCGGCAAGTTGAAGAGCTCGAGTCGGCCTTACCGTTGAGGTCCCGCGTCAAATCTCTCAGGCCCTTACGAACTTGTCGCCTTTCTCGGTGGTCTTGATCCGGATCGTAAAACTGATTGGCACTATTCCGTGTCGTCTGCGATGCTACTTGAGACTGAGTGGCTTGCACATTAGAGTCTCTTGTTGATAGTCGAGCTCGCTTAGCTCTACGGGCATGTGCCATCGTTTGCGGTTGGTTTCTCTTAGTGATCCCCGTTGCACTTGAGCGATTCTCCTTATCGGATGGCGATCCTTGCGATACAGGGCGATTCGAATATGTAGAGGAAAGAGAAGGTGCCATCTCTAGCCGCCGAGCAGATATCCTGCGACAACACACGGGGGGGAGGAGGGGTTGACAAAGAACACGATTGCGGCCGCCTTAGTCGAGTGGGTAAAGGGTAGGAAGACAAAGGACAGATACAAAGAATCGCCGGGATGCAATAGAGGCATAAACAGATGAGTTGCGAGTCAGCATGAGCTATGGGCTCATCGAGTCCCAAATAGCAACCCGTGATATTCTTCTCTCCGAATATTTCTTTCTTGTTCGCCAGACACAGGCAAACCCGCCGAAGCGCGCGCTGAACGCGTGCTGCACGTGATCCCGGAGGACCCCGCGTCATCGCTGGCTGTTGCCCCAGGCCTCCCGCCAATCAGCCGCTGCGGCTCCATTGGGTCTCCGGCCGGAGCTCCCCATCCAATGTCAGTCGCCGCTCACTTCCCCGGCAACCCAGTCCCAGTCCTCATTTCATACTTGCAATGAAGGCACAGTGGTTTGATATACGGTGGACACAAATGGCCCTGAGCTAACGATGGAGGCCTTTACCTTTGCCGTTTCCACTCAGGTGGATTTCCCAATCCATGTGAAGATGTATGTGAGCTTTGCTTTCCTTCGACCTTACAATGATCCAGCACTGTTCCGCTAACTAGGGATGAAGTGGCTCGTTAGAAGGAAAGCAGAAACAAGCGCCCTTTTCCCTTCTTATGAGGCATCCAGAATTGCGCCACATCGGTTCCGCGCAGAATCCCGTCTCCGATCTCTTCGTCACTATCCAACTATGGTCGGATTCCAAAGCCTTAGGAGTGCCTCTGCAGACCTCATACAAAGCCTTCAAATCTGCTCGGGCGTGGAATGAGTGGCTGCAGATGCCGATATCAATAAAGGATGCTCCTCTCAAAAGCCAACTGGCCATCACGGTCTGGGATCTTTCGCCGTTTGGCGGCGAAGGGGCGCTCGGACACTATGTACCTTTTGGCGGGACTACTATACCGTTATTTGATGGAGAAGGGAAATTGAAGATGGGCAGGCAGAAATGCAAGATCTATCGTCACCGGGCTGCGGACGGTTTCTCCTCAACGACAACGCCATCAACGCCACCTCCGAAACGTCGAAAGACCCACGCCCCAGATCCGCTAGGCCCATCGGAAGAGGAGATGGAGCTGGAACGCATCGAAGTTTTGATCAAGAAGCATGAGATGGGGGAAATACCGCGCATTGACTGGATGGACCAACTAGTCTTTCGCCAGCTGGAGAGGCTCAAACTCAATGCGGAGGAGGCTGCAAGGAAACGGGCCTTACGTTTGAAGGCTACGAAACAGAAGCGCTCGGAGCATGGCGGGGATGAAGACGACTCAGATGACAACGAAGTGGATGACGAGAATTTCATCCTCTATGTCGAGTTTCCGCGCTTTGATCATCCCATAGTCTGGTCCGATCATGAGTACCCAGCGCCTCCAATGTCGTCCTACTCCCAAGGTGCTCCTGCAAATGCAAACCCTGCCCTAAAGCCCGTACCGGAAGTTCGCTTTGGTCCGGGAATAGAGGGCGCGGATGGAGGCGGGGTCATCAGAATATACGATCCTGAAGTTGGTCAAACCGGTAATCCATGTGAAGACAAGCATCGGAGACTGATCCGTAGCCATCGGACGGGCATCATGGACCGTGATTTGAAACCAAACCCCAAGATCCGTGATGAGCTCAATGTAATTCTGTCATATGAGCCCACCCAGGATCTCACCGCCGAAGAGAAGGATCTTATCTGGCGATTCCGATACTACCTAACCCGTGAAAAGAGAGCGCTGACTAAGTTCGTCAAGTCGGTCAACTGGAGGGATGTTGGTGAAGCGCATCAAGCCGTCGAAATACTGCCCAAATGGACTGAAATCGATGTGGACGATGCTCTTGAGCTACTTGGACCGACTTTCGATAACCCTGCAGTTCGTTCTTATGCAGTTGAAAGACTACGCAAGGCTGATGACGAAGAGCTACTTCTTTACCTCCTACAACTTGTCCAGGCTCTGAAATATGAAGAACACTCTCACGGTGATGTCGATGATGCCGCTCACGATTCGTCTTTGGCCAACTTCCTTATCGCCCGCGCTGCGAACAACTTCAAATTGGGCAACTACCTACACTGGTACCTTATGGTTGAATGCGACGATGCAGGACCAGGAACATTATCAGCACAACGTAGACTCTTCGCACGCGTTGAATACTACTTCATGGCAGAGCTCGAGAAAGTCCATCCGGAGCATCGAAAGACCCTTTTGCGCCAAGGAGAACTAGTCACAGTACTCACAAAGATCGCCAAAGACGTCCGGTTCTCCCGCGAGAACCGGGTGCTCAAGATCGAACGATTGAAGCAGTGTCTCAAGGATCCGAAGAACGACATGCTACACATCGAGCCTCCACTGCCACTGCCCCTGGACCCAGAAATCCAGGTCACTGGGTGCTATCCCGACGAAGCAAATGTCTTCAAATCCTCCCTCTCCCCTCTACAAGTCATGTTCAAGACCTCCGACGGACGAAAATTCCCCATCCTGTTCAAAATCGGCGACGACCTCCGCCAAGACCAACTCGTCATCCAAATTATCATCCTAATGGACCGACTCCTCCAAAAGGAGAACCTCGACCTCAAACTCACCCCCTACCGCATCCTAGCCACCAACTCCACCGCCGGCGCCGTCCAATTCATCCCCTCCGCCTCCCTCTCCGCCATCTCCGCCAAATACAAATCCGTCCTCGCCTACCTCAAAGCCAACAATCCGGACGACAGCGAACCCCTCGGCGTCCGCAAAGAAACAATGGACACCTACATCAAATCCTGCGCCGGGTATTGCGTAATCACCTACCTCCTCGGCGTCGGCGACCGTCACCTCGAGAACCTCCTCCTTGCGCCCGACGGTCACTTCTTCCACGCCGACTTCGGCTTCATCCTCGGCCGAGACCCCAAGCCGTTCGCACCCATGATGAAACTCTGCAAGGAAATGGTCGAGGGCATGGGCGGAACTACCTCCCCCTTGTATCTCCAGTTCAAGCAATATTGCTTCACGGCGTATACTACGCTCCGTAAATCGGCGAATCTCATCCTTAACTTGTTCAGTCTGATGGTTGATGCCAATATTCCTGATATTCGTGTCGAGCCAGATAAGGCTGTGTTGAAGGTTAAGGAGAGGTTTCATCTGGAGATGTCGGAGGAAGAGGCTATTCGGCATTTTGAACAGCTTATTAGCGATAGTGTTAATGCTATCTTTGGGGTTGTCATTGATCGGTTGCATGAGTTTGTGCAAGGGTGGAGGGCGTAGGTGGCGTGTTTTGTGGATTGCTAGGTTGATGTTGCTCGTTATGCTTTTTTACTGAAAGGGGGGAGGAGTTTATGGCGCATACCATCGATTGAATGGTTCAATGATGAATTGATTGATACCCTGCTCTGAAGCGGTGGCCTTGTCTATATTAATGATAATATATTTATAGATCTATAGACATTTTTCATTCCGGATAGTAGTTACATCATCCCATGTTTAGCTAGCCACTTCATCGTGATAGCCCTCAGCACCCCAATGTAGCGATCATTTATCCCTGCGTTGTGACCGACCTCCCGACTCTTCATCAGCACGACTCCAAACCCCCAGCTCAACCCACTCATTCCCAGTCTCGTCATCGCCACGCCTATCTGCGAGATCACCCCCACCTAATTCCACCCTTTGGCTTGTTCGCATATCCTCAGTCACAGCAGTATCAGAACCAGACTGGTCGTGCGAAGCAAAAACCCCTCCCGACTGCTCACTGCGCAATTTCGCTTCAGCGTCTTCGTCATCCTCTGGTGTCCCCTCTTTGCATGCCCATGCATCTACGAACCTCAGGACCTCGCGGGGCCACCAGCGCTTCATTAAGAGAAGACGGAAGGGGACTAATAAGACGATGAGCACGGGGAATGCGGGTGCACCACGAGTGAGGGTTAGGATGAAGATGGCTACGGTTATGACGATCTGGAGGATGGTGTAGAGGTGGATGGGGATGTATGATGGTGTTGGGGCTTCCGCTTCGGAGGTAATCGGTTGCTGTGTGGCAAGAGATGGTGGGAGAGGAGGGAGCTCGGAAGGCGGAGTTAAGAGGTAGAAGGTCCGGTAGAGGATTGGGCTGGTGCTGTTAGTTGGGTTGCGTTTGTTGGTTTGATGCGGATTATGACGGCTTACTTGACTGATAAACTCTGCTCGCCCATGAACATGAATAGCCCTGCTAGGACGCTTGTTGGAGTCAATCCCAGCACTTTCATGAATGGTGGACTGATGAAAAGGAAGATGACGGCTGAGTGGAGGAATGCTGACCAGCGCTGTTCGTAAACGCGCTTCACCTCGTATGTTTCGATCTTTTCTTCTCCGTCAACTGTAATTGTGCGCTGCTCCTTTTCTGTATGCATTAGAGACTCCGAGTGGAGAGGGGCTTGAGGAAGAAGTCCGTTGGCAGGAGGAATTCCTAGGATGCCGCACAATGCTGTTGTAGTGCCTAGGAGGACTATGTCCCAAGCGAAACCTCCTGGTTTTCTGGTGCCGTAGCGATCAATTGTGCAGATGATCGAGCTAACTTCATGATCGAAGAAAAAGAGCACGGTAATGATAATACCGGGAAGGATAGCAGCGAACACCCAAGATACAGGGAGATGCCAGAATTCGACGAGGAATCTATCACGACTAGGAGATGTAGGTTTGAACGAGGTGCTGACGGGAAGTGTCATTTTATCCAGATGGGCTAGTTCTCCAACGTGGGGAAGACCGATGAAGATGATGATGGAGATCGCAGCAGCATACTCAGTCAGGCCCATTCGGATGTATCGATGGAACAGAGGACGCCAGCTCTCGGCCGTGGATAGAAAGATTGCGAGCAGCATCGTTCCCACAGCTCCTATTATAGCGTAGAGAAACGCTGCAAATGATAGGCTTTCGTGTGCTCTTTCGAGCTCTTGGATAGCTTTATGGAAGTAGATAATGCTGTTGAGAAGCGAGAAGATCTCGGTTGCAAAAGTGGTAACATAACGCATCGTCCAGTCGTGAGCGTTAACTATAGCCAGGACGTAGTGAAGCCAGGCCGAATGGATCAGAGACCAGGCCATAAACGGTAAGAATGGTATCTATGGGATAATCGTAAGCCACTGCTAGAACCTCTTTTTTTTCTTCCCGAGAAATCACCTTGAAAACATCCTCGCATAGCGAATATATATTCTCAGCCAGCACTGAGAAAGGCCCAGTAACACCAAGAATAGTTAGTGGCTGGATGGAGAAGCTGGGGGATGTTGTCAGTCTATGTTGCTCGATTCCTAGTGCAGACAGGCCTACAGTGAAAAGATGATGCCGCATAAGCCTGTACTAAACACGACCTCGATAGTTCCCCAGTTCTGCCCAGTGAGCACATAGAGGTCGCTGGCGAAGGTAATGCCCGGCAAAAGATTCGTAAAGAAGACATAGACTGCACTAGCGAAAATCAATTGATTGAAGACAGTCCAGTCGGATACATATCTGCGGCGCAAGTTCAGTATGTCCTGCTTTATCAGACGAAAAGGCCGTAACGGGCCCCCTGACGACACAGGGCCCCGTAGCACCCGAATTGCCTTGGGGGTATGCTTCGATGGAGTGATGATGGAATGTGCATCTTCTTCATCTTCCTCGTCATCGTCCCGATTAACTTCCTCATTGTGTTGGACATCGCCACGTCTCGGAGACCTCCTCTGCCTACGGGGTCTCCGCCGGAGAGAGGAGCTCCGCGTGGAACGGGGTCGAAAGGCAGATATTAACGGCATTGTTCAGTCATACTAGGGAGCAGCCTGTTGTGGTGATCTGGAGGGTTTGAAGTTGGTCTGGCGGGGAACCAGCGATGCCCGCCTTGGCCCTCATGACGTATCATATTCCCGATAAGAGACTCACGGCACGCTCTCCGAACCGCACGGGTGAAGCCGCCTTAAGAGGAGACTAATTGACCACTTTGGCTGAACCGTATCAGTTCACCGCGATTATTGGAAGTAAATTATGAGATATGAGCCTGAAGAGAAGTCAAATCATGGATTCACCTCGTGATAAATCACTGTAGTAAGTATTGGAATCTGTCTTGGTAGATCCTGCAGTATAGCGACGACCTGCAGACTCATTTGTGCACGGAAAGTGTTCATCAGAGAGACATATTTTTAGATCATAAGAGAATATCTACAGGGGTCTCTTTCCACTCTCAGGTGTTGGTCTCAGATGTATACGTAGAGCGCCGCAGTCCATCAGTAGGGAACAAGCATTCCGCCTTCTTCACCGCCCTCACGGACCGACAGAATCTCTCCCGCGGAGGAATTTCCTCGCCTCCAATTCCACTGGCCATGTCCTCCACACGGCAGCAACTCCGCACAAGTCCTTGATGATGCCAGCTGGATAGGAGTCTTCAAGTCGTCAGAGACATTCTAACATTTAACAACTCTATGGACCGTTGACAATGGCAGCCAAGTTTATCCCGCGCCAGGCTTTCCCCAACTATGGGTCCATCCCGAGGTCCTATTTCCTGGGCCACCATAGGGCCGGCCTGAAGAAGATGCAGAACATGCTCTCTTCCATTGATTATGTAGTCGAGTGTCGAGATTACAGAGTTCCTGTTACTTCTATCAACCCCATGTTCGAAGAAGCACTGGGAAAGACACGGCGGTTGACCGTCTATACAAAGAGAGATCTGGGTGCTACAGCGGGATCGAATGCGCAGAAATTGGTGAGTGGAATACCACAAGTGAGAGGAATGCACTATGATAATGATAGTGCTAACATATAATATACATACTTAGGCAGAAAAAACCATTCGAACCTTCAATAAGAACGGCGCTACATTCTTCGTGAGCTCGTCCTCTCGGGCAGATGTGGGCACAATCCTAAAACACCTGCGGGACGATGCAGAAGGACCGGACAAGCTTGTTGGATGCCGGGTGATGATTGTTGGTATGCCTAATGTGGGCAAGTCGACGCTCATCAATCACCTGCGTAATCAGGGTGTTGGGAAAGCTAAGGCGGTGCGGACCGGTGGCCAGCCAGGTATCACAAGAAAGATCGGGACACCCGTGAAGATCATCGAACGAGAAGGTGGCTCACATGTCTACGTCTTGGATACCCCTGGAGTATTCATGCCATACGTGCCAGACGCGGAGAACATGTTAAAGCTAGCCCTGTGCGGCTGCGTCAAGGACTCGGTCATTTCCCCGGTCACGCTAGCCGACTACCTATTATATCACATCAACCTGAATGACGCCGAGGTATATAAGCGATGGTCTGAGCCAACAAACGAGATTTTACCTCTGTTGAACAACTTTGCCCGACATGCTGGTCTCTTGGCCAAGGGCGGAATTCCAAACACCGACCTGGCAGCACTACACTTCATACAAAAGTGGCGTGCCGGCGACCTGGGCAGGTTTATGCTTGATGATCTGAAGGAGGAAGAGCGCCGTCTGCAAGAAGGCGGAGAACGAGAGATACCCACCAGCTATACTCAGGCCTTGAAGGCTGAGAAGCTGGGCAGAAAGCAACCCAAGCTGTAAATAAATAAAGAATCATGTAATATAGATATATCTCCTTTCCATTGTACAAAAGAACGAATCATGTTGGTATCATCAATGAGCTTTTGCCTCCCCTCAGATGCATAGTAGACTTGTTAGAACCGCAGAAAGACGTAGGAGAGAGACAAAAGGAGACGAGAAATCATCGTAAACCCTAAACGCCCATGATAGACGAAAAGAAAATCAAAAAAAGAGCCCCAGAGTCAGCGCATAGCGCATCACGAGGACAGACGCCCCAACAACCGCACAATCTCATGAGATCTTGTCCAACAACCTCCTCCTCCGTCGATCAACCAACTCCTCCTGGACCTCGTCAAGTGTAGGCAACCTCCACTCGACGCCATCCCCAGCATCACCAGGCAACGGCTCCCACCCATCTTCCACATCCTCATCCTTCCTGCGCAATCTCTCAACAGCCTCCTTCTCTTTCTGCTTCTCATACGCCAAAAGCACCCCATCCTCCTCATCCAATCCATACCCAAAGTAATTAGCATCGACCTTCTTCGTCGCAATCTCGCCTCCTCTCCCCTTCCCACCTTCTTCATCCTCCTCCTCAGCCGGCCTCCTCCCCCGTCTCGCCGCCGCTTCAAACATCTCCTTCACACCCGGTAACTCCCTCGCTCGTCCAAAATACCGATACCCCTTCCCACCGCCCGGTATCTCCCTCCCATCATCATCAAACACTCGGCCTGAGCCTCGCATGTAGTTGGGCCCGCCCAGGTTCCGAATCTGCATCTCCCACGTCCACTTCTCCTTCATAAGCTTGTTGATCTCATCGTTCAGATCCCGGATCTGGTAATCGCTTAGACTGAGCTCCTGAATCCGAGACACCTTGCGTGAGATTTCCTTCAGCACTTGGCCGCGCCATTTCTCGCACATCGGGATCGAGTCAACGGTGGTGATGGCTTTCGGGCGGCGCGTGCGCCCAATGTCGATGATTCCGAGATCCGCGGCTTGTTGGGCCCGGAAACGGAAGAGCATCGATTGGGCTTTTTCGCTGTTACGCGCCTGGTCATTTTGTTAGTAGGGATTTTTTGGTTGAGCTTAAGGTTTAGGTGTGGTTGAAGGCGAAGGGAGAGGCGAGGAGGAAATTTGGGTGACGAGTTGGACAAAATTCGAGGGCGCGGTCGCTTGATTTAAAAGGGTGATTTGTTCGGGGGCTGAGTTGATCATGAGGGCTTACCATTGTGAAGAGCGGCGCGGGGGATCCCCGTGGCTGATGGAGCTTTGTGGTTGAGAGGATTGAAGTGAAGAATGAGAGACTGGGACGCTGGCTCTCGCGCTCTCTCTTGATCCAAGCTCGGGTGGGTTCGTCCGCCCGTTGACAAGCGAGCGCTAACAGTTGCAGCCGCGCGGCTACGGGTCCCGTGGTTCTTGGCTGTCAGTCTACCGAGTTTATGGTTTCCCTTGCTGCCAATGATGCAGTGCATGTCATTTTTGAGTTGTGGTGGCTTACTTTGTACATGGGAACCTAAATTTGAATTTTCAATGATATCGGATATTGTTATTCAAAGGGGTAGGCAATCTTAAATTTGGACTCGGTTTTGCATAGCAAGCTTTGTGATACTGATGTCTATTATATATATATGAGCTATGAACCGCTTCAGGGAATGATAATGCGAGGTATAATTTGGTGAACAATAACATTAGAACAATAACAAGACTGGGATGCACACGGCTATCCGCTGCATATGGTCAAGATGCATCATAAAGCATTAAAACAGATCATATAGCATAGTACACATCAAAATCATTCAAAAGCATAATCCAAGCGCCGCCTTCCGTCAACACTCCGTAGCCATGCAGGGCTGCCATCAAGTCATAGTCGTAATTGGTCGCTCAGGCCCTAAATGAATGTTTAGCGCCTGAGTTTAGATAGAGCCATGTGCTCAGCAGGGTCAACCTGCTAGGTCGTCATATTCTTACAAGAAGCCTTTGGTGTTGCTAGGCATCCGCTGCGGTATATCGCCTCCGTACACGCTGCTCCCTCTCCTGCTTCCGGCGTCGCTGAAAGCGCCGACGTGGCTACGTCCGAGGACGCTGCCCCTCTCAACCCGGAGCGCTCGCCATCCCTCTAGTTCACGTTCCAGCCTGAGAGACTTCTCCCGCTCTTCCCGGAGTTCTCGCTCTGCTCGGCGCACTTGCAGCTGTGTCTCCGAGTCGGTGTGCTGAAGCTCCTCGATGTTCCGAAGAAGACGCTCGATCTTGTCGCGAGCTTTGCTGACGTCGTCATTGAGCTGGGAATTCATCTTATCCCTGCGCTCGATCTGGGACTGCAGGTCTTTAACCGTGCGGTCGACATTCCGCAACGAACGTTGCTCGGAACTGTGCTTGGCTTCTTGGTCCTCCAGATGGGTTTCCAGCTAGTTTGAGAACTGTTAGCATCCTTCATGGTGACGACGAGTTTAGCATATATATGGGGCAACTTACTTCCTTGATTCTCTTGTGTAAGAATCGGACGTCCTGGCTTCCAGATGAGTAGCTCTTGGTCTCGAGATCAACGCAACGAAGTTGAGATTCCTTCAGCTGCTTTTCGAGGGCCGCCTTGTCCTTGAAGAGCTGAGCATTTGTTTCTCTCTCAGCAGTGACTTCCTTCTGCATCTCCGTCGCCAATGCTTCCGCCCGCCTCATCTTACCAACTGCAGCTGCGGAAACATCTTCCTGTTGAGCAAGCTTGGACTTAAGTTCCAACAACTCACGGTCCATGCTTGCAGCATTGCGCATTGATGGACTCTCGCCCTTGGCGAGATCCTCCAGCCTTTCACCTGCCTCAGCTAACCGGGTTTCCAGCATCTTCTTCTCCTTGAGCAGCATGTCGCGCTCCGCGGTCACGTCGTCGACGGAGGTGCGAAGAGTTCTCACCTGGGACAGGAGGGAGACAACCCTGCTTTGAGCTTCATTATGAGCATTCACTGCCTCATCACGAGATGTCGTCACGTCTTGAAGCATGATGTCCATTCGAGCCTTCTCCTTAGCCCAAGTAGAGCTGTTCAAGACTTCATTGTCCCACTTGCTCCGCAAGTCTTCAAGTTCTTCACGGAGGCGTGAGTTCTCACCGCGAACATTGAGGACCTTTTCACGCTCCATCTCCAATTCGTTGTTGAGCGTGGTAAATTCGCGCTGATACTTTTGCCTAGTCTGTTCCATTGAAGTCTCCTTGTCCTCAATATCAATGGCACGTTGGTTTCTGTAGTCTTCAAGCTCGTTTTGGAGACGCTGTTTGGCCTGGAGTGCACCTTGGAGCTCAGCTGCTTGATCTTCCATTCTGGCCTCGAGCGACTGAGTTTGACGTTGCAGGTCTTCAACCAGGGCATCCATTTGTTTGCGCTCAGACATTATCTGAGCACAGGTATCCTCAGCCTCCTGGGCCTGGGATTTGGCGAATTGCTCTGCTCGAGTAGCCTTCAGAACTGCAATCTCAGCTTGTTCCAGTTTGCTGAAATACTCATCGGCACGGGTCTTGTACAAGCTCATACTGGAAGCCAAATCAGCTGACTTCGAGGTCTCTGCATCCAAGCGGATTTGAAGGTCAGAAAACTCCTGAAGAAGCTGATTCCGACTAACAGCATCCTGGTCCCTTGCGACCTGCAGCTCCTGGAACTCGGAACGGGCATCACGGAGTTCTACTTCCAGCGTAGCCTTAGCCCTCTTAAGCTTTTCGAATTGAGCTTTGGCGTCGCTGAACTCTGCAATGGCTTCGTTGTGCACCTTGAGCAAAGACCTTCTGGACTGCTCCTGCGAGTTGATTAGGTCGTACAGTTCTTCATGCGATTTGGCTTGGACGTCCCGCAGTGAAAGATCACCTGACCGAATGTTCTTCTCAAGAGCAGAAACCTTCTTAGAGGAGTCATCGAGCTGCTCGTGTAGACGTCCGTTCTCACGTTCAAGCAGCTGCATGCGTCGAAGAGAAGGACTTTCTTCCTGCCACATATCACGACCAGGTGCTGCTTGGGAAAGCTGGTTTTGGAGATGTTTGTTCTGCATTTCGCTCATTTGAAGCTTGTTCTGCAGCTCCTCAATTTCGGCCGCCAGATCCATTCGCTTTTGGTAGCCGACAGTATCCACGGTTCTGTCAGATCGAGCAGAGTCATTTGCCGTTTCATTGAAGTTAAGCCTACGGTTAGGCGTTGTAGGAGTGCCGAACTTCTTTGCCAGAACATTGTCGGAGTTCTTTCTGAGGTGAGTAGGGGTCCGAGGGCTAGCTACCTGGTTCTGGTCGATCTCCTCGAGCAAGGCGCGTTTAGATGAGGCGTAACGTGCATCCAGCTCCTTCATTTCATCCCCATGCCGACGACGCATTTCCGCCAATTGGGCCTCGGCTCGACTATACTTCTCCTCGGTGACTTGCAACCTACTCTGTGTCGTCTGTAACAATTGTGCCAAATCAACCTTCTTAGCCAGACTAGGCTGGACCTTCTCCCAGGATTCCGATTCATCAGACTCAGGCTCCACTACCTTGTGCAGCAACATTAATTGGCGGTGTAGATCTTCGATCTCCTTGTTTGCCGTATCCAGGGAGCCTTGAAGCTTGCGCGTATTTGCTTGTGCCTGGGTCCGGAGCTGTCTTTCGGTCTCAAGGTTCCTGTTCGCCTCCGCCAATTGGATGTTGGCAGTGGAAGCAGCCTTTTCCGCATTCCGACTGGCCTTGTGTTCTCTAGCAACCTCGTGGTTAAGGTCCTCCAGGCTCAAAGACAACTTCTCTTTCTGCTTCTCCAGAGAAGTGATGTTGACTTGCAGATCGCCAAGCTGACGGGTTATTTTCTTGTTGTCCTCTTCGAGCTTCGTCTTTTCTTTCTGGAGAGCAGTTATGCGCAGGCGCGAGTTGTCACTGGCCCTGGAAGTTGATCGGGCTATGTCGAGGTTCTTTTGTTGGATCTTTGTGAGGAGAGCTCGGTTATCATTTTCCGATGCTGTAAGCCTACCCTTGAGCGTCACCAATTCCCTCTCCAGGCGTTCCTTATGTTGATCATGGCGAATGCGGAAATTGTCAGATTCAGCGATAGCGTGGGTCAATTCTTGAATTCTGGTGGAAAGACGTGACCTTTCAGCTTCTACCTCTTCCAGCTGGCGTGTCTTATCATCCAGGTCTTTGCGCACACTCTCAAGACGCTCGTTGGCCTGCTTCATGATGTTGCGCTCAATGTCGGCCTCTGCGTTTAATCGCGCATCCTCGACCTTCGTGAAGCGGTCCCGAAGTTGAATCAATTCAGTTTGAAGTTCCTTGCGTGACTGCTCAGCAGCAACGCGGGCTTCCGTGGCACGACGAAGAGTGTCCTGCTGAATGTACATCTCCTTTTCGATGATAATCTTTGATTCATTCAAGGAAGTGTACTTGTCCTTGAGCTCCGCGAGATTATGCTCGGCAAGCATTTGCACATCATCACGCGATTGACGCTCCCGGCTCAAATCAGCCTGTGCTTTGAAGAGTTGATTTTTCAATTCTTGGATTTGCTGCTCGAGAAGCTTTCGGCTTTCGCCAGCCTCGGCATCCTCTGATATCTTTGCCTCCAGTAGCTTCTTGACATCGGCCGCCTCTCGCTCAAGCTGAACCTTCTCTGACCTCATCGCGTCTACCTCAGCTTGCAGCTCTCGTAGACGCTCCTGCATGCTGTCATGTCGCGTAGTAAGAGAAACCTTCTCCGACTCTAGATATCTTTTCTCCTCTTCATGCTTCTTGGCATCGTTTCGCAGAACAGCCATTTCGCTTTCCTTTCGCCTAAGCATCTCTTCGTAGCCAGTGGATGTTGAGGAGAGGTCGGTGATTTGTTGTCTTATGACCCGATTTTCTTCAATGAGCTCTTTGATGTGTTTCTTGGACTCTTCTAGGTCTCTCGAGGTCTTGGAGAGCTTAACTTCAAGATCTTGATCAGTCTTCAAGAGCTTGGTCTCTAGATCTTGCAGTTTGCGCTCTTTCAAGCTGAGGTGACTCTGCAACATCTTTAACTCTTGGCCCAGCTCCTTGATCTTGGCCTCCTTCTCCAGGGAAGAGCTTTCTGCCTCGGCCAGCTTCTTCTCGAGTTCTTCTAGACGTGCCTGCATCTCATGCTTTTCGTTCTCAAAGCGTTGGATGATTTCTCCTGCCTGTTCAAGTTGGGTTATGCGGAGCTCAAGCTCGTCATCCGTTCTTTTCTTGGCAGCTATCAGATCATCTAGTTGGTCTTCGAGGCTCTCCTGGTCTGCGATAGCACCGGCCAACTTCTCACTAAGCTCAACTTCTCGGACTTGCAGTCTCTTGAATATCTCCTCCTTGTCGAGAGCCAAGGCACGCTCACTCTCCAACGTTTGTTGAATCTTCTGTATTTCAATCTCGGTACGACGCCTCTCTTCCTCTAGCTTCTGTCGATCAGCTATATCCTGGTTCATCTTCGCTTCCAGGGACTTGATCTTCTCGTCCCGCCTTTTGACTTCATTGGCAGTGCGAGTTTCCCCCAGAAGAGGCCTCATCCTGGAATACAGTCTCCACCATGGGTTCGCTTTCAACTGGAGGTAAGTCTTGAAGTTGTCCTGAATGATCCGTGTTGCTTCCGCCCGATACAAGCGCTTGTTGGAGATACGCCGCTGGACAAATCCCCTTGCCACAGATTGGAACCGGGTCATGATGGTGCGAATAAGCTGATCTCGTTTCTCTTCCAACTCGGCCAGGACCCCTGCCCTGAAGAATACCTTCGTACGACCGACTCGATACCAAGCAGGGTCCAGCCCGAGCTTTTGCAACATAACATGAGCGGCATTCCGGCCGTCGAGGTATCCCTTGGGCATGGCAGGGCAGAGAACTTCGTAGCGTTGACGGAATTCCGAAAATGACAGCCGATTAGGGAACCCAGTGCGTGCAATTCGTATTCCTTCGAGTACACCGTTGCAACGTAGCTGATCGAGGACCAGGGGTGCGTTGAACATCTTCGGGCGCTTTTTGTGGTTGGGTATAATACAGCGCACAAAGTGAGGATGCGTTGAGTTCAGCTGATTCATGAGGCTAGATAGTTGTTCCTTATGTCTTTGCGCAACGGTGCGGAAGAGACCCTTCTTCACGCGACTCTTAGGGTAGTCGCTGTCATCGTCGGCGTCGCCGCAGTCGGAGAACAGAGTCGCGACATGTTTTTCACCTGATCTTGCAAGCAGTCGCGTTATGTTATCGTTCAGTGGGTCCTTGTTCTTCTCGAGCCAGCCCTCTGTGCCATACTCTACCTCAGCAGCGTAGTGCGTCAGAACGAATCCCTGGCTTAGCCGAGAAGCACGATACTTCGGTGATTTCCGATCCCAGAGCGAGTGCAGCTTTTCAGTAAAAGATTTGTCTGTAGCCTTCGGCATAACAGAATCTTCATCTAGACACGAAAAGATACCAATAGGATTGGTCAACTCGATTAGGTCAATTGTTGGTTGCAAGTCCTTTCCGAAGTCAATGAATTGCCACTCAATTTGCTCTCGTGCGTATTCCTCTTGTTCTAAGACGAACATATGGTGGTTGAAAAACTGTTGCAGCTTCTCGTTGGTATAGTTGATGCACAGCTGTTCGAAGCTGTTGTTCTTGAAAATCTCGAAACCCGCAATATCGAGGACTCCAATGAAGAAGCTGTCATCGCCAGCGACAGTGCTGCGGTCCAGCTGGTTGTTGATTCTGTCGACAAGATTGCTAAATCCTCGTTCATAGATACCCTTGGCGAGAGCATCGAGTGCTAGTCGAACCTGTTCTGGCGTTTGAACCTTTTCCACCCACTCGCGGCCTGCTTTGACCTTGGGATGCAGCAGTCCTTTGACGAATAGCTCAGGTTCTATACCTAGCAAGTGGCAAGCCCTCTCTACACTGTTCAGGGAGTCGGGGCCAAGTGCAGCTTGATCGGCTCGTAGGCTTTCCTTGACGATGGTGATATTTCCCAGATGAAGGACTGCTGCGATAGTGCGCAAGATGCACATCTGGTCTTCCTCGGAAAAGTCCATAACATGGAAAGCCTCAATCAACATTTTCCATTCGTCCTCATCAGAGACCCCAGCAATGGTGTCGTTACCATCACGAGTATAGGCGAAATCCTCAATCTGCAAGTCGGACAAAAGGAGAGCCTCCCTAAGCTTTCGGTCTGCTCCCCGTAATAACTGGTAGAAGATATGGTAGTTTCTTTCATGCGAATTGGGTTTCACGACACGAGACTTCTCCAGTAGATACCAATCGATCGAAGCACCCGATATCTGGCCGGCCCGGGTGAACTCAATACGAATGAACTTGCCAAAGCGGGAAGAGTTGTTGTTCCTGACGGTCTGGGCATTTCCAAACGCCTCCAGAATGGGGTTTGCCCTCAGAATCTGTTGGGACAGGGCGGACAATTGCTTAGTGCCAGATCGAGCGTAAGGGGTGTCGGTTGTCGCAACAGCTGCAAGGTATTGTATAACCTTCTTGGTGTTCTCGGTTTTACCTGCACCTGACTCTCCCCTTTAGGGTCGAATTAGTGTCCTGAATCTGTGACTGGCCTTTCAGTAGACTTACGTCACGAGAATGCTTTGGTTCTCTCCTTCTTCGACCAGATTTCGAAAGGCCTCATCAGCCATAGCAAAGATGTGGGGACGGCTCTCTTCTCTGTTACGACCCTTGTACATCTTCACATACTCGTTTGTGTAGATTGGCAATGGGCAGTATGGGTTCACAGTAACGAGGAAAAGTCCGGAGTACGTCTGTGAAGGGCAAGGATTAGCTCTTAATGCCTATCAATTGATCCGTAAATCGGTAACACTTACATAGATGAGATCGGCTTGATATCGGGTGTGCAGATTGTGAACCACTGAGGCTTCATTTAGATGTGTGAGTTCAGCCATATCATCTGCCTTATCAAACTTCGCCGGGTTCACTTTGTCGACTTGGTCAGCGTCGACCTCCCTTTGCTGTGTTTATCCGTAAGCCTTTCTAGCTCAGTCTCCGATGCCTTTGGGTGATTATACCTCTCCATTGTCGGTCTGGACTAACATCCGGCCACCTTCTTGCTCTTCGAGAACAAGCCCACGCACGAATGCCTTTTCGGTATCGCGGAGCCAGACATACTTGTTGCCGGAGAAGTCATTGTCGCCCTCTTGTCCCCGGATCTGATCCGCACCCCTGCGTAGCTCCTCCGACTTGATGAATTCGGGCGCAAAGGTTCCTGATGAAACATCATTCCTTATTGAGCTCGACCTCGGCCGATGCGTTGTCCGTGCCACCAACGGTGATGGTGACTGTGAGATGGAAGCAGAGTTTCGAAAATGGCCCCGGGCCTCTTCGAATTTACTGGGGGATGTAACAACGGCCGACTTGGGGCGAATACCTCTTGTCTGCTGAGTTGGGGAGGGAGTCGGTGACGGCGATGCGCGGCTGAAAGGGTTGGCCCGCTTAGGGGAGCCATTTAACTGTGATGGAAGCATATCTTCGTTAAGGTCAATGGATCATTATTCAGTGAGATGGTCGTAATCATAACAAATATCTATGAAAGTAATGGAGACTCAAGCAATGAGCCCTCGGATGATGTCGCAACGAAGCATCCAGGCCAACTGAAGTGGCCACGGGAAAGAGGAACGATTCAAGGACAAGGGAAGAAGAAGATAAGGGAAGTTGGGCAGATGTATATTAAATGAAGCTGCAGCATACCAAGCAGCGGGAGGTGCAGAATGACAGTCACCCACTGACCACCTGCTCCCTCTGGGGCCCCTTCGGGTTCCGCTGTTTGTTTACATCCGCCGTTCCTCAGGCTGCGGGCGCCGATCATGCGCTAGTCCGGATCGGTCGTGCACCCGTCACGTGGAGACCCGCGGCACCAAACTCGATCTTTTCCGGGTTGGTCGGTCGTTTCCCCGTTTTGCTTGTCGCTTCACGTTCTTGTGCTCCTTCTGTTCGATCTCCTGCTGCTTTCAACATCCTCACGTCGCGTTCGCATCTTCGCTCTACGTTGCTATCTGCTCAGCAGGTGCAGAGCTGCCTTAACTGCATATTTTCACCAACGCGCCCGACCTCATGTATAGCAGAGTGTTGCGGTTACTGATTCTATCTATTTCGTTCTAGTCTTAATGACTTTGACTTGATTTCTGCTCATTCTAGCTTGAAACGATGTGGGATGCCTAAGCATTCGCTTTAGATGTGACGAGCTAGCGTTTTTTACTTACTATACGCAGACATCTTACTCACCTTGAAAGCGCGCACGCGGTCGCTCTTCCCCAACCATGTCTAATTATCCACCGACACCGTCATTTGTGGGACCAAATTATACACCTCAGTGGCCTCCATCAGATCCGTCTTCCTCTACCGCTATGCCATCCTTGTTTCCTCCTAATCTTGGCTTTGGCCAAAACCCATCGCCCATCCCTCAACACGCGCAGGATGGTACTACCCGTGCGTTTGATTATAACCCCGACAGCTACAACGCAAACACACGTCTACCGGGATTAGGGGTCCCGAGCGCCGCTGGTCCCTTAGTACCGCCGCCTCCATTCACTTTCATGCCGCCTTTCCCTTCAACTCAGTTTCCTCACCCTCCCTTTCCACCATTACAGATGCCACCGCTACGATACCCCTCGATTCCTGTACCTCCGGTTCACGGTTATGAACCAGTTCGTCATGCAACTAGCGACTACCACATGAATAACTCTATCCCTACTCCGCCGGGTCCTCAGCCTGCTGCTGCTGCTGTCAACTCCGAGTCTGATCCCGACCGAGAGGAAGGTGAACTCACAGATCGTGAAGAATCTTCGTCGACGCAGCCAAGACCACATAAAGCGAACTTGGGACAGCAGTCAGGACATAGCTTCGATACTCAGATGGCTCGAGCTATGGACGGTAACAACGATTCCATGGAAAGCGATCGGACAATGAAACCGAATGGAACTGGTACTCATGGCAGACATAACTCTCACTTGTCAGCGATGGCCACCGAAGGCTCAGCGCCAGGCTACCCAGAGCTGGAAAGAGGCGGGGCTTCACCAGAAACTCGCCTATCGTCCCGAAGCAGTGGATCACGTATGTTACTCCCACATTATACATAGTTCGGTTACTGAGTTCCTGCAGCCTATAATCCTGCTCCTCCCAGCTCTACTGAACCCCCGGTTCCGGACACCGCACCGGGACCAGAATTGCCAGCTCCTTCAATCTCACAATATGAAGCGGCCCCCGATAAAGGAATGAGCAGCACAGCTTCAACTGAACCACAGTCAATACCCAGCGGCGGTAGGTCATTGGCACAGCTTCGCGTCCAGGCGCAGGGGGCACTTCTGAGCTTGGCGCCTCACAACATTCGATATGCCGAGTTTGTCGGGGAAGGAATCAACCCGGTTATCCTTCGTCAACTCTATGAAGAAGTTGGAATAAAGATCGCCACTCCCGTACAGGACGTCTCAACACCTTCCGCATCCAGTGCAACTTCCTTGGAATCCGACCGTTCGTCGACTAGCCAGTCTGGGGAGCCAGAGCAAGGAAGCCACTCGATCATTAAGTTAGTCGCAGATCAAAGTTCGGCATCGCAATCTAAAGCTTCAGATTTGCCATCGGATACTACGAAACCCATGGAGCGAAAAGAGGTTATTGCTCGTATGCTTGCCGCAAAGGCTGCAAAGGGTGCTGGGGCGCCTGGACTGGTTCAAACGCCGGCGGCCAAGGAAAGTAGTGCGTCCGAAGATTCGGCTCTGCCGGATGCTGACAAGAATGCGATGATCCCCTCTCAGGACGGCCAAATAAAGGAAAAGGAGACTCGTGTTAAGGAGAAGAACAAGGCCCAGACTGAACTGGCTAGGCAGCGGATTGAGCTGCTCAAGAAGCAGGGCTTAATGAGGAACGGTCAAAAATCGCAGTCGGATTCCGTGCCTCCAGAGAAACCTCAACAATTGATCAATTCCGGTACTGAATTATCTTCAACTTCGACACCGATGCCAATACAACATCCATTGCCAGAACGTCCTCCCGATCCTGAGCCTAATGTTTCAGCCCGTATACCTGGTCTCTTCATGACGGAACAAGAGCCCGAAACTGTACAAACTCCTTCAATTTCCGCTATTCAGGGTGCTACTGATGCGGTGTCACAAACCCGTCTTAATCAGCGCAAACGCCCTCGAGCATCTGATTTCGACGAACCGGTTCCGATTCCTAAAAAGACGTTCAACAATGGTGCTAGTCATGCCTATCCTGAGACCCAGAGGCTCATTATTGATATTAGCGATGATGACGAGTTCTACGGTGATGACGAGCATGACAACATGGATTTAGACCCGCCAGCCGGAAAGGACGTGCATGATGTGGAGGGCTTGCTGCGGACATACACCCCATCTGTTGACATCCTCCCTCAACGGCCGGCAACTGCCTCTAGTCTGGGGTTTTCTAACTCGGCTACACCACAGAGCCTGAGGAACAATGATCAGGAGCATCAGGAGCATCTTCGAAAGAAAGATCTGGAGATCAAAGCCATGCACAAGCGAATCGCGGAACTAGAAGAGCGGAAGAAAGCAAAGCTGGCGGCCAGCCGTACACAATCACCTCGACCATCAGACGCGCCGGAACCTTCACCTCCTGCGAACAAAATTTCTGACGACGTGAGTAAAGCATCGAACCTCACTGCGGAAGCTGAGCCGGAGAACAAGTCTCCTGCCAACTTGGATCTTACCCAAGTGGAGAGTCTCAAAGTCAAACTGCTGCGCAAACAGGAAATCGAAATTGGTATTCCTGCGCTAGATGCCGAGATACACAAGTCCGAGGCGAAACTAGCTGAGGTCCACGAGGAAGAAAGCAGGCTAGTGTCCGAAATCACAAAAGGGCGGGAAGGCCGGCAGCAGCTCTTGGATGAGTTGAACAATCTGAAGCTTGAGCTTAATGGGTTGACCTTGGATGATGTGGAGGCTGCGATACGCCGCGCACAGGATAAGGAAGACAAGGAAGCCAAGGAACCTACGCCTGAGGTTGAAGGTATGGCCATCAAGACTACTCATCAGAAATTTCTGCCTCAGTCATTTTCTTTGATTGTATTCGACTGACATGTTTCGTCTATGCTGCTTAGCCGCAGACCAACCAAAATCCCCCGAGAACGAGTATGCAACTTCTGAGCCCACGCACGCCGGCTTGCCCATCGACAAAGAAATGGAAGATGAGGAGCCGCTCCGTCAATCCGTCGTATCTGAAGAAGTTCCTGAACCTGATTCCGGCAACGGGTCCAGCATCGTGCCTGACCCCAAGGTGATGGACGACGTTAGCGAGTCTTCTGGAGAGGTATCCAGTTCTGATTCTATGGGTTCGGCAATGGATGAGTCTAGCGACAGCTCTAGTGATGAGTCTGCCGACGAAGAGATGCTTCCAGCTCATACACCCGCTCCGGAGACGAACACCCCTGGGGAGTCAGGCGGACCCGCTGAAGATGGGCAACCGGAGCCAATTGAGGCAGCGGCAGGTCTTCAGCATGATCTTCCCGAGCGCCCGCGAACCCTAGATGCGGAGCCACAGGCGGAGCTACAACCTGAGTCAACTGCCGATGAGCAAGTCGCCGAGAACCTAGGCCAGGCCTCTCGTGAATCTTCCGTCTCAGATGCGTACGAGCCTCCTGAGCCAGAAGAAACAGCTAGCCCTGCTGATTCCAGCTATTCCCCACCGTTCAGCCCTGCATCTCCCGATCCTGTTGACCCCCTTGAGGTCTCCACGGCAGATGAGACGAGACAGGCTGACGAGCCACTAACGAGAAAGGTCCAGGAATGGGATACCCAACAACCAAGTGCTTATGCTCAGGTTGGCATTCTGGATGTGCGGTGCACCTCAATTCCGCCTAAGGTGTGATGCTGACAGAAGAACTAGAATCCACGGGTACCAGAGCAGTCCGAACCAAAATTCTCACCTTATGTTAGTCCGCTGAAGAATTTCAAGGCTTATCGCTACCACCCAAACTTCACTGAGAATGTTTCGGGTGGCTATCGTTCTCTAACATATAGCCACAATATCGACCCTATGAGATATCTCTGTCCATTTGAATCTTCAGGGGGAGTATGCAATGACCGATCGTGTGAATTCCAACACTTTCGTGATATGACTCTCAGCGGTGCGTCGACAGTCTGAACCATCATTTGCAACAATTTCCCACATGACTATTGGCCATTGATTCCCTGGACCTTTTCTTCATCTGTCGTGCCTCCCTTCAGTCTTGCGCCTCCATTCCCTTTCTCGTTAAGCGTTTCATTCGATGTCTCCTAGTCATTTGTTATTCCTTTCGCTGTGCGGATGCTGACACCCAGGCTCGTTAACCGCCACAGATGACAAGATCCTCGTCCAGATGGGATCTCTTCGAGAAGGCAAGACACCCGAAGAAAAGGATGAATACATTGCTGGGCTGAAACAAATCATCAACGACATGCGACGCGACAAGGTGAAAGATTTTAACACAGTGGCCACGGAAATAGCCGCATACCGTAGACGCTTTCTCCAAGACCCTTCGCGGATACTGCCGTTGTAACAACTTCAAGATCTTGACTACTCGACACTTTTGGAGAGAGCCACTTTTTACTTTCTAACAAGGTGAGCTGCCGGCGTCGAGCACAGGCGAGTGCAGGCGACCAGTCCAACTAGCAGCGGCTGCTTCTGGCTCAGTACCAGCAATGGCAGCGACCCCTTCCACATTACGCCAGCTCTCCTTCCTGACCTGGAGGCTTCCTTTCCCCTCCCTCATCCTCATTGCCTTTCTTAGCATGGCCCACACTCTTCCTTTCTGATTGATACATGAGATCTGGCATCTCTTCCTGAAACGACACAAGTGGGCATTTTCCCGTTATCTTCATTATCTATTACTACTTGGCGTACAAAAGCGAGCCTGGAGTTGGAGGATCGCATATTTCTTCCCCCTTAGGAAGTGGGCGTAAGCGATCTACCCACACCACGACACCTGGCGGAGAAAATCGAGTCTGTGTCAGTTTCGATTACTTCTTCTCCTTTAGCCTGGGTATCCAAGGTATGGGATGAAAATCATTGACATGGATTTGAGCCCATTGGATGGAATGGGACTGTACAGCAGGGCGTCAGGGCATAGGGAGTACATAGCGATAGCAAAACCATAATTATTTTCTACCAAGCCTCACTTGCGTGATTTTCCCCCTTAGCAACAAGCAGGAAGCCATAGGAATAAATGTCTCAAGCAGAAAAAACCGCGCAGTTTAACCGCGCACGAGAATATGCCTCGTCGACAGAGCCGCGACTAAGAACACAGACCAAACTCTAGAACCTCTCAGGGGATAGGATAGTCTAGTATCGACTGGACCGGGCGTCTAGCGTCTAAACCGGGGCAAAAAACACACCCACTCACCCACCCCAAGGCGCAGACCTATGGACCTCCTCCTTACTAACCCACAACAGTTTAGCAGAAGAGCTACAATAGATTATAGATAGATAGGAGAATAGATAGTCGGTTGTTAGTCCAGTGGAATACTTACTATTCTCCCGGTAGCAATGCTGCTTGCGCCCCGAAATTCTCCGCACCCGCCCGTCCCTCACCCCTTGTCTCCATCTCCGTGCCCAAGTAGACAAGACACAATCAGCCTACCATTCATCACAGTACCTTCATCAAAATCCTCAACAATATATTCAATAAGAAATAAAATAATAAATTAAACGATCATATGATCGAAAAATGAAGGATGAGTCAAACCCGCGCCTATAACTTTACCCAAGTTAAGTTCAACTTTACTAAAGTTACAATGAAGTGGCAGTGCTTGCCAGCTTCCCTGTTTATTTCTCCATACCACTCACTCACGCACGGGATCTAGATACTCACTAGCTAGTACTGGTAATAGTCAGATATTATTTAACTGGTAGTGATGTATGTTAACTATGTTAGTTGATGAGTTAGTTATGTATGCAAGGTTGAGTCAGTCGGGAGTCACCTGAACTGCAATGGAGATTTAGTTGGATTGAATCGTTGGTGTGTGTGTGGCTTAACCTGTGTATGGTTGGTTCATTGTGTTCAGGTTCATGCAAGGTATGGGAGTCATGATAGTCTTGTGACTTAACTAACTTGTTAACTAACGTTAGTCACTGGGTGTTTCTGACTCAGGCAGAGGTGTAGGTAACTAGTTAGCTGAAGCTGGAGGGTTCGGGGTCGGGGACGGACATGGGAATGAGGACGGGGACGGGTTCCCGATTGTTGATTTACTCGCTTACTTACTTGCTTACTTAATGTTACTGGGTGTAGTAGCTAGATATTACCAAATAGGTATAGTCCTGGCTAAGTGGTATAGTGTAATAGATATGCATGGAAGTGGGCTGGGTTTCAGCGAGCGTGTTTCGGGATGATGCATAGTTGGTGAGGGGATTTGCACGTCGTTTTCTATTGATAGTAAGTAGTATGTTGATTGTCGGGTAGGTGCTTTTGAGGCGGGGAGGGTATTAGTTTAGGTATGTTGTATGTAAGTCATACTTGCTGGGAATGATTATTGCAATCGAGTTACTGTACTAGGAAGGAACTGCGACAATCTGCATCGGGTTAAAGCTGCGAGAGAAGTGAGGAGGATGAGAATGGAGAAAGGTGGGTTGTTGAATATAGAAGGTAAGCGGCCGGGGTGGTGGTGGTGGTGGTAGTGGTGATGCTTATCCTGCAGGGTGCGTGTTTGTAGTTACGTAGTATCTGGCTAACTATGGAATGAGGATGTGCATTGTGGAAGTGGATGGATGTAGGTACGGCACAGTCAGTGCTTATCTAGCCCAAGTGACGCAGTACCTTGGAGATGCAGGTAAGGTATAGTCAAAATCTCACAGGAGACAGTGCAGCATGTAGGTTGTAAGGCTGTATGTAACCAGTAATGCAGGCGAAGATGCAAGTACCAAGTACCTGTCAGTATCTAGTATCTATTATCTACTGAGTAGAATGCACATCGGCAGTGTGAGAGTGTAGAAACTGCCAGCTGAGACATGCCGCGAAGGATGAGTGCAGAAGTGGGGGAGAAAGAGGCCCCCAAGCTACTGTACTAAGAGTGTCGGAAGAGTTGGAGTGGAGAGGGTGCAACATTCTGTTGTAAGGCTGTGCCATGGAACTACCACTAGTCTGGTTAGTAGTGAATCGTAGCAGTCGAATTACTACCCCAAAATTGGTTTGGTAGCCAGAGAGATGATTACTATACTAAGTACTCGCGACGCAGTCTTACCGCCAGTCGGATACTTGCATCGGCCACGACCATGGTCCAGGGATTGGATGCTGCTTAGATTACCGGTGGATCATGGATTCTGGGTAGTGCTGACGGGAGTGCCTTGTTGCAAGCCATGGAACGTGGTAGTCAGGATATGTGGTTGCTTGGCGGGGTAGCGTGGGCTTGGCCGGGCGGGTAGAGATGATGATGATTATGAGGATGATTTATTTTTATATACTTCCTCGAGTCGGGGAACGAAGACGGCGGTAGGATTATTCAGCCTTGAGAAGGATGAGAATTCTACTATGCGGAGTGTGATTTTTTAGGTTTCGATGGGGGTAGCACGGAGAATTAGAAGCATGACTGCCATGCTTTTTGCTTCTCCGGGTTAAGAATAGATCTCGAGTCCGACGCTCGGTCGCAGCGGGTAGTTGGGAAAGCGTGTTAGATTACCGGAATGGGAGATTTGAGGTTGTACAGAACGGCGGAGCAAGAGAGACAGAACAAAGATAATTTGAGACAACTTTAAAAATAACCCTCGAGGAAAAGCAAAAAAACAAAACAAAAGCAGGTCAGTGTCCAACGTGATCTTACGAGAAGAAAGAGAAAGGAACGTTAAGCGTAATCCCTACCATGTCTCATCATGCCATGTGGCCGCTGGCATACGGGGGGCCGGGCTCTGGCGCCCGTTTCACCATCATCGCGGTCGCATCGTTGGCTGGCAGGTCCAAGATCAACGGCCATTGATGGGTGGCCCCAGTTTCAACAGCTGCCAGGGAGCTGAACGGCGGGGTCACTGATCGCGAGACCACCAATAAGCAACCCATGCTGACTGAGGGACAGAAATTAGTTGGCAGCGGTCGGCAGGTGTCAAGGCACTGTCATGACACTTCGAATCCTGCCGAGAAGGTGTCGAGCTGAAAAAGGATCGGAGTCACTTTCCTGTCCGGCGATAGCAAGCAGGGTGACCGCGCGACGGAACGAACACACGGACGCCATGATGAGCTCTAGAGAGAGAAAGCGGCACTTGCACTGCCCTTCCTGGAGGGAATCAGCAAAAGTCACGTCCCTGGCACCCGTATCTCCAACGCCCATTGGCGCAGTCAAAGTCATCCGAGCTGAACGGCCCGAATTCTATAATGGAGACACCATAATTCTGGCAGGTACCAAGACCGCCAGTTCCACCGCAATCATAGGGTTCATTGCATACAGATTCCCAGTGAAAGGGCGGTGGATTCCAGCGCCGACGCCAGGTGTGGCTGCATGATCTGCATGGCACTGGCTGACACGGTTCAATGATCCTCCGTGATCCCCCAGCCAGTCAGTGCAGGCCCATGGACAACCAAGACTTTTGCGGCTCGGAGGGAAAAGGGCCAGCCTCAGTATCTATGGCTGTGGGAGGGTGGATATGGATGATTTGTGGTGGTGGGAAAGCGGCGCAATACGGGGTTCGTCTATGAACACGTGTGGTTGACAGTCCGTGTTCCCCCCTTTTTATTTTGGTCCGCTATACTATGGCTACTATTGCATCCCGAAACGCCGTACACTTGGGATTTTTCGAGAAGACAACTATCTACACTAATTTCGAGTACGAGATTTGATCCCACTGCGGGACGGAGTTTTGTCGCTTATGCCGTCATCCCAGGATCGGCCCCCGTAGGTTTGTTGTTCCTTTTCCATTTTCCTCGACTTTTTATTTGCTTTTACTGCATCGATACCGAGTGGTATTACGAGAGGATCTTCGTCAACATGGTTCCAAAGGAGTAGTTAACATTGCTTATACATTGATGCACTCAAAAACCGAAATCTAGTCTAACAGGGGGGTGAAACAAGAGATCGCATAATAGAAACCATAGAACAATAGTGGAAAAGATCGCGCGGAAAATAAAGCACAAGAGTCTATCCATCCAGAAAATTGTCCCCCTCGACCCACAAACTCCAAGGCTTTCTTCGCGGCTGCCACCACCGAGCGAGTCCGGCTCGCTCAGACGTGCAGCCGCCCCAACTCTAAGTCGTATCTTTAGTACAGTCATCCATGAACTAAAAACAATAAAAAACCGAAAAAAAAAAAACCAAAAACAGAACTAAATATGACACTTGACAACCAAAAGAATGCAATCGCTCATGCAAGAAGGAGTTACCAAAAAAAATAATAGCAGCGCAGTAAAACGAATCAAAAGAAAGAAAATAAGAAAAAGTAAACCCAAGACTCCTGGTCATGTCTGTTCCATGTTCATGCCGCTCATAACGATAACGCTCAAGTAAAGTACCCGCAATCGATGGATTAAGGTGGTCATAGATCAAACAATGCGTTGACAGCTGCAAAACAAGTGTTAGTTGTGTGCTCCAAACCAACCCAATTCTTTTGTTGGTCCTTACCGATTCATGTCACCGTCCTCATAAATTATTTCGCCGGCTTGCAGTATCCGCAGATGTTATGATTGCAGATCACACATCTCGGCTGGTTGTCCCACAGCTTTGGTCCATCCCCACACTGGCAGCAGAAGTATAGGCTGCCATGGCTGACCGTACCCCGGGAGTCCTGGCTGTTGATTCCAGGCATGCCATGTTGCAATGTATGGCTGTGGTGTAATGATCCTCGAAGGATGGGCTGGTTGCATCCCAAGAAGGTCGGCATCTTTGCGACAGGGTTCCCTGAGACTTGAGAGTGTTGGGGAGCCGGAGCGTGTGCGTATGGCGACAACTCGTGACAGTGGTGCGAAACAGTGTCTTGAGTATCAATGTGGCAGTTCGAGCAGCGTGGCTGATCGCACTGGAGGCAGATGTCGTCAAGGCCTAGCCGGTGAGGTCCAGCGGAGCAATCGCAGCAGTACCAGACTCCAGACATGGTGGCAGATGATGTTCGAGAGGTAGCTATAAAAAGTGTAGAAGGTATTTTGGGAAGCTATGGAGGAGCAAGATAGAAGGCAGCAACAATGGATTGAAACCAAAGCTCTTTTGGTAGATGTGTTTGTAGATTTGTAGTAGTAGATGAGAGTGAGTGAATCCATATCGAAGGCTGGGGTTTGGAGGTTATTTAAAACTTCAAGAGAGGTAAGAGAGAAGCACAGAGATGAGACGTTGTCACTAGTGATGATTCAGAGCCAGGCCCCAAGGCGCCCTCGCCATGGTTGTGGCTGATCTCACGAAAAGGCGCCCTCCTAGCCTTCATCTCAGTCATCAAGCAGGTGCAATGCCTGATCAACGTCGGGGCCATTCAGGTTAGAGTCGATCGACCAGAGTGGCTTGGCAACCCCATTTTCTTTTTGGGACCCCGAACTGCTCGTACCTGAGCAATCAGCAGTCCCAGACTGGGTTGAATCATATTGGACTTGTCTCACTAACAGACATCGTAAGATATGCTGTCCGAATGTTGACTCAAAACATTCTAGGGTCCACCGGATACCTTCGCGAAAGGCGGAATCCGGCGAGGCTTGGAGGCTCTCTTTTTTGCCCGGGAGCGCGCGCCCACTCCGCCCATGCCCTTTTCCTTCCCTCTCTATGGCTTAATTCCTCCTTTCGAGGGAAATTCGATTATTATTCCCAAAGAAAATTCGCCCTTTTTGTGCTTATTCCCCTCTTTTCCCCTTTGCTTTGCCCTCCCCCCTTCATTGCTTCTGGACTCGCGGACTATGACACTGACACTGCGGGACCTGGGCACCTCCATTCTACGCTATGTTGCCTGGTTGCGGCCTTGAAGGGGGCTCCACTTTGGTCAACAGCGCGCGCAAATACAATTCAGGCAACATCGTGCCCTGTGCCTCGAAATTCCAGATGCTGCAGTTCGAGACTCTGACTGTGACTCCGACGTTGACCGTTCATTTCCCCTAGTTGATGGGGCGCCGATAAGCCTATTCGTGATGCTTCCGTCGGTCAAGCGTTCGCGACTCCTGCTGCTCCAAGTAAGCAGGCACCCATACTAGTTCTGCCTAAGCCATCAAAGCCCTTCGATCACCCGGGCACATGCCCTGCCAAAATGACGTCTTGCCCACCTCGAACGATGACTGAGTGCATTACAAACCTCAGGTTTAGGTTTGTCATCGTTTGTTCTCTTGTTCTCTTTCGCACTTTGGTCTTCCTGCTTGCTCTGTCACTTTCTTTCCTGTACCGCCCTCGTTTCCCCCTAGTGCTCCCCGTGCCTATTTTCGGCTTCTCCGATCTCCCGCATGAGGCTCCATGTCATGTGCAGCCAAGGCGGCCGACGCTGACTCCCATCGGCTCCATCGCAAGTCCACTAACGAACATCACCCATCACTAGCAACCGGCACTAACGTGGTCGCGTCTGTTCAGAGCTGAGTCTCGCTACGAACTAATGGGGGCCTTATCCTGATGTTCAGCTCTACACGGTGCACCACCTACGGCATTGCCCGTATTGACGGCACAGCAATGGTACAACAACTGCGGGGAAGGTTGTCATGGCCAGTTCTAGCTCTCCATGACATATCCAACTAACGATCCTGCCACAGCCATGTACCCTTTTGACATTTAAACGGGGCCGTTAATTTCCGATGATCATCATAATCCTCAGCTGTAGATGTCAAATTAATTCGTGATCTCACTGCGCATCGGACCATCCTGGCGAAGCCTGGAAGTTTTCAGAGCAACGGCGCACCGCATTTTAGGATATCACACGTCCTGAAACAAACTGAAAACACTCCCGCAGGTCATATCATACACGTGTCGATATCTATATCGATGTCAGCGTACAAGACTGTCCCGAACAAGCAGGTTCGGCACGAATCCACGAACATTAGTCGGTTTAGGGTTTGATTTCTAGGTAGAAATATTGTCGTCGTTGACTTGAAAATACCTCAAACCAGCACAGGACGGGCCGTCTATGAGTCAATCTGGCTAGCAAATACGGCTGCCTTCTGAATGGAATTTTGTTGACGAAGACTGTCCCACATTCTCTCGTAGGCATCACATTGTATGGGGACATCGCGAACGTAGATAGCTCACTCCCTTATCATCACGTGACCTATGCACATGACATCATGACGGAGGTTTGCCCTGTTTGCACATGGTGCCTGTCACGTTCCTGGAAGCCTAACACTGCCATTGCAACCTCTTGCCAACTTCGGCTCTGGTCCCCATCGTCGCATATTGCTTCACACGGGCTTGTTCGTCGCACTGTTATCTCGCTCCGTGGAAGCTGTATATACTTTATGTTAATATGGATACATATGCGGGTCGACTTCCCTGAAACTGGCTAGCTGACTGTTCTCCGATGCGGAGGCGTTTGTAAGCCTTCCACGTTCTGTTTCAAATGGCGCGCCCAGATAGGCGCGTCAATCTAGCGGTTGCCAGGGCTATTCCGCCATTTCTATTGTGTGTATGTGTATATGCATGCTATATTGTCACAAAGCCGTTATGCAGTAAGTGCCCCCTGAGCCAATGGCTTACTTCCGCCGCTAATTGTCCGAATTAGTTGACTACCTGATCCGCCCTCTCCCAAAATATTCCCACGGCCGTCGAGTTGGCGCTGGCATAGCCATTCTCGTTATCTTCTACATTCTCATTCTTGTCGTTATTATAACCTATCTCCGGCTGTTGTTCAATATCACCCGCAACCCTGGCTTCTTACCCCGTGCTCCCGCACCGACGAAGGAAGAGCAAGAGACGGAACCATCGGACCGCCCTCCACGCAGGAAGAGAAAGCACAGAAGGACACGGACAGCCGAGAAGCCGGATAAGACGGACGTTGATATTGAAAGAGGTGCAGACGGCAACGCCGACAGTGGTGCAATTCCTTTGGATATTATTGGCTTGGAGAGTTTCTATACAAAAGATGTTTTTGTTTGCCAAGAGGATGGGAGACCACTTTATTGCTCGACATGTTCTCGCTACAAGCCTGATAGAGCACATCACTGTCGAGAGGTAGACAGGTGTGTGCTTAAGATGGACCACTTTTGTCCTTGGTGAGTTCCTCTTCCTCAGTTATCACTGGACCGGACTGTCATTAACATTTGATCAGGGTAGGAGGCGTGGTTTCCGAAACATCATTCAAATTCTTTATACAATTCGTGTTTTATACTCTGATATTTTGCGCATTCAGTTTGATAATATGCGCAACCTTCACGGCAGAGATTATTCAAGATGTGAGAAAATGTCTTTCAAGCTCTCTGGTCTGTAGACTAACCGTTTTCTTTTGCATAGGCTGGCGGAGCCAATGTTCATCTGGCTATCGGTATTGGATTGTAAGTATTTTCAACGTATGCTTCAGGTTTACCGATCGCCTTCTAACGATCAGTAGGAGCTCCCTGTTCGGTCTTTTCTCCTTCGGGATGACTATCAGTTCCTTACAGCTTGCGATGTGGAATCTGTCAACGATTGAGAACCTGAATCGTCGGTCTGCAGTATGGACTCTGGCCATCCGCGTGCCAGATCGTATGCTGGCAAGGCTTAACCCCGAGTCACGATGGGCACCCACTTTCCGCACCATAACGTACCCACTTCCACCTGTGCCTCTCTCCCCTGAGGCGGCGAGAGATTACCAGCCACCAGAGAAGCAGCATGTCTTTGCCATTCTCCAAACCCTGCCTGGCGAGAATCCTTTCGACCTCGGCAGTCGCTTTAAGAACCTCCAACAGGTCCTGGGGTATTCCATCATCGACTGGTTTCTACCTCTCAGACAAAGTCCATGTGCAGACCGCACTACAGGAGACAGCTTCTACGAACTAGGACCGGTAGTGTCCCGCCTGAAAAAGGAGGCCGGATTAGACCCTCCACCCGAATCGCAGCCCACAACACAGAATGACACAGAAAGAAAACATAAGCGAAGACGAAGTTCGCATAGACGATCGCAAGGGTGACAAATTGGATATTCCATAGATTCATTGTCCATTTCATCATATACTACCACACGCATTGACCTTCTCAAACCTTCATCCGAGTTTGCCTTACCACTTCCTATTTTTGTATTTTCTTGGATACCACCAGTCCGTTGGCTCTCCCAACTGGTGCTATTCTACCTTTGCATACATAAATAGCTTGGGTTCTATCCATACATAACTAATACAGACTAATCCTATCTCACAATAAAAATACCGGGACAGGGGGTAAGGCGAAGGAATGTGTGGTATATTCCGATTGATCCGGAGAATACACCCGCACGTGGCGATAGCCTCAATTCCCGTGGCGTAGTAACCCCGTCTATAGTATCCAGGGATCCAGTTCCTTTAAGTTCCGAAAATCACATTCTATACCCGAACTTTGTCTACACCTCATCTTGTGGTCGCTTTCAGACAATAGGGTGATGGATATAACTAATTCTTTTCGTTCATTAAATAGCATTGACCGCCTTGGCGACTTCTGGGGGGTGGTAATTCAAGTATGTGTGGGTTACCAGCAGGAAACCCACTGTGGGAAAATTATGGCAATGATCTATGGTCTGGGCTGTGTAAATGTAGCAGTGTTTGAATAATAATAAGTAAGAAGTAGAAACTGTTCTGGAATAAAGAAATCGGGCGGTTAACCCCGGCAATGCCGTGATTGCTGGGCGGGTGTGGAACTCAGTACCGGCGAGTTCAGATATATATTCAACTACTAACCGCACCTCAGTGACTAGTACCAGTCATGAGAGGAACTGACCAGACTACGCCACTACAACTACTAGGTTTCCAATTAATGATTTACTCGCGTCATGCGTTATTCTGAGCAGGGAGTGATATCACTGATGTAAATGATCTGCAAGAATCATGATCTATACATGTTCTGCCTAAATTCTTTCAAGTCCGCAGGCAGGTAGGCAGCAACGAGGAAGCCTAAGCACTAACCTCTACGAAGTACAATAAGCATGAACATCGTCACCACAACCTTATATCTCCTAAAGTACACGTAGTAACATGACACAATTAATGTACAAAGACCCGGAATCTATCTAATATACAGCTCAACGGAAAACAGAAACCAGAAGCAAAACCAAACCAGGCCCGAAACGTCTATCATAGATTGTCGAGATTCATCATGCCCAAGGGATATCGAAGCTGAAGGTATTCAAGATCGTACAGGTCGTAAAGACTGACATAACCGTGAAGGTCGTGACTCATGTGCAATTAAGGACACACATAAACATAGAGTGGGGTCGATGTACATCAGGCAGGCTTGCAGGAAGTGCAACGAGTGTGGGAGTTGCAGCTGGTGCAACGGCCAGAGCTCAGCGACGGGTTGTTCATGTTACGGCAGAGGCAGCATACCCACCAGCCAGCCATGGAGGGCCTGACGGCTGCGTGGACTATGGTGGTGTTGGCGTCCTGGACTTGGTCGACCATGGCTGCAAGAATGGGAAACGGTAAGAAGATTTGCGACTGAAATTGACTAGATCTGGGGATGAGGTCGGCGTGGGACAAGACAGCTAGCCAAGCGCAGGATCAATTGAGAGTGAAGAGGGTCTGTGAAGTGGCTCAAGGACGCAGAGGGTGTATAAGAACTGTTCACGGAGAGCGAAGTGAAAGGAGAAACACTTGAGTTTTTGTTGATAGTCTGAGATTGACTGTGCAGTCGATGACAATGAGATGGAAGGAAAGGATTGAATATAGACATCGACGACGATGCTTATATGTAGAATCACTCTCAACGACAGATACACAGAATAATGTTCCTTTGACAGAGTCGATGAGCTGTCCAGGCACTGCGGGCGATATACCTGGGCAGAACATTCCTGTTATCGAGGTGCCCTGGACTGCATACGTCGAAGACGAAGCCAGCAATGTCGAGCTTTTCCGATGAGGAAGATGGCATGCGCGTACTCCGAATGGGTCACCTCGTGGTTAGGGTCCCAAAGGGTTGGAACGGCCCAGGCACCTGCAGGCAGAATCCTATCGGCATTGCTCCAATAATGCAAGCAGATGGCCCGTTCTCTTGTGCGCTGAGCAACGTCTGCCCCGTGAAAATGGGGCCCTGGGCTGTGCGTGACAAGTAGACGCCTTATTCCAATGCTGCCCCGAAGGATTGAGTTCAGGTATGCGGGCATCAACTATCCAGGGCACTAGGTGGCTTAGCTGGGCCGTGGCTGGTTGCTCCAATGAGAGACCGTCAGATTCGAGGTTCCCAGATGATGACACCTGAAACAGAGGGCCTAGTGAGAAAGAGTCATAAGAATGTATCCACATTAGACTTGAAGTCGAACGAAGGAAGTGTGTGGCTGGCTACAGAAGGAGACTAGACTTACGAAGAAGTAGATGCTAGAGTATTATAAGCTCGTCAATACCCGACTCGAGGACGAGCACATTGAGAAAATCGAGACGGCGGGCTGTCCAAGGAGGCATATGTCACT